AAATATGGTCCATACATTGTAATACATTGATATGTTTCTGAAATATTTAAGGAATCTACTGTCATCTCTTTTTTCTCCCTAGTAATACATGTATTGAAGAAAATGGATCATTTTTCCTAAAGAATTTCCCACATTCTGGACTTTGTTGATTGCATTCTTGCGATATCATCTGATTATGCTCCTTTGTGCCCTATATTTCCTGTAATCTGGTAGTTAGATCTAGGGACTTGAATGGATTCAGATTCACATTTTTGGCAAGAATAGATAGTGGTACCAGCTTTTACACTGAGGCATGTTTTTTTTTGTCTGGTTATCTCTGTGATTTTAGCAGCCATTGATATCATTGCCTAGATTCATTATTGCATTAGAAGTTGCAAATTGGAGACATTCTAATTTTTTGTTTTCTTTTTGTTTTGAGACTGAGTTTCACTCTTGTTGCCCAGGCTGGAGTGCAATGGCATGGTCTCAGCCCACTGCAACCTCCGCCTCCTGGGTACAAGTGATTCTCCTGCCTCAGCCTCCCGAGTAGCTGGGACTACCCATTAAATAACTGGTCCTTCCCCATTCATCTCAATCCCTAGTAACCTCTATCCTACTTTCTGTCTTTATCAATCATCTATTCTAGATATTTTATATGTTTGGAATCATAAAGTATTTGTCCTTTTGTATCTGAGTTTTTTATTCATGTAGCATCATGTTTTCAGCATTCATCCATGTTATAGTATGTATCAGAATTTCACTCCTTCTATGACTGAATAATATTCCATTGCTTATGTACACCTCATTTTGTTTATCCATTCATCTGTTGATGGATACTTGGGTTGTTTCCACCTTTTCGCTCTCATGAATATTGCTGTAGCCACCAAACTGTTTTCCTCAGAACTGTGGTATTTCACATTCCCACCAGCAGTGTACCAGGGTTTCAATTTCTTTACAACCTTGCCAACACTTGTTTTCTGCTTTTTGTTTTCTTTTTAATAGCCGTCCTAATGGGTGTGAAGTAGTATCTCATTATGGTTTTGATTTGTGTTTTCTAGGAACTATTGATTTTGAGCATCTTTTCATGTGCTTATTAGCCATTTTTATTTCTTCTTTGGCAAAATGTCTATTCACACAAGTCCTTTGCCCATTTTTGCATATCCTTTTTTTTTTTTTTTTTTTTTTTTAAGAGACAGATTCTTGCTCTGTTTGCTCAGGCTGGAGCATGCTGACATGATCATGGCTCACTGCAGCCTCAAATTCCCTGGCTCAAATGATCTCCTGCCTCTCAGCCTCCCAAGTAGCTGGGGATACAGGGGTGTGCCACTGTGCCCAGCTTGCCTACCTTTTTTTTGAGACGGAGTCTAGCTTTGTCGCCAGACTGGAGTACAGTGGCTCAATTTCGGCTCACTGCAACCTCCACCTCCCAGGTTCAAGCAATTCTCTTGCCTCAGCCTCCCGAGTAGCTGGGATTACAGGCACGCGCCGCCAGACCCAGCTAATTTTTGTATTTTTAGTAGAGACAGGGTTTCACCATGTTGTCCAGGATGGTCTCAATCTCCTGACCTCGTGATTCACCCACCTCTGCCTCCCAGAGTGCTGGGATTACAGGCGTGAGCCATCGTGCCCGGCCACTTGCCTACCATTTTTAAGTTGCCATTTTCTTGATTCAGCATTCCCTTGGTTGCTGTAACCCTTCTTTGACTATTTTCTAGAGTTTTGACAAAGTTGGTTCTAAGAGTTTCTACTTGTCTTTCAATATTTCTGTAGAGGGGACAGGTGTCTGGACCTACCTATTCTTCCATTTTGCTGATGTCACCCTCAAGAGTTTAATTTTCCTTTTTCTTTTTCTCTCACTTTCTTTCAATAAGGAGTTTAAACATTTTAAATCTGTATATATAATCATGTGTCACTTAATGGAGGGGGTACATATTGAAAAGTGTGTCATTAGGCAGTTTTGTCATTGTGTGAATGTCATACAACATATTTTCACAAACCTGATGGTACAGCCAACTGTACACATAGGCTGTATGGTGTAATATTGCTCCTAGGCTACAAACCTGTACAGCATGTTACTGTACCAAATACTGTAGGCAGTTATGATATAATGGTAAAGTATCATAACATATGGTATGTATGATATAATATTTGCATATCTAAATGTATCTCAACATAGAAAAGGCACAGTAGAAGTATACTATTATAATCTTACGGGACCACCATTGTATATGCAGTCCATCATTAACCAAAATGTTGTTACACAGTGTATTACTGTATTTGGTTATGGTAATGTCACATTACTGTTGAGTTTATTAAAGAGTTCATCTCAGGCTGGAGTGCTGTGGTGCAGTCTCGGCTTACTTCAACCTCTGCCTTCTGGGTTCAAGTAATTCTCGTGCCTCAGCCTCCCGAGTAGCAGGGTTTACAGATATGTGTCATCATGCCAAGCTGATGTTTTTTTTTTTTTTGGAGATGGAGTCTCACTCTGTCACCCAGGCTGGAGTGCAGTGGCGTGATCTCCGCTCACTGCAAGCTCCGCCTCCCAGGTTCACACCATTCTCCTGTCTCAGCCTCCCGAGTAGCTACAGGCACCCGCCACCATGCCCGGCTAATTTTTTATATTTTCTAGTAGAGACAGGGTTTCACTGTGTTAGCCAGGATGGTCTCTGTCTCTTGACCTCGTGATCTGCCTGCCTCGGCCTCCCAAAGGGCTGGGATTACAGGCGCGAGCCACTGCGCCTGGCCGCCAAGCTGATTTTTGTATTTTTAGTAGAGATGGGGTTTTCCCATGTTGGACAGGCTGGTCTCGAACTCCTGGCCTGAAGTAATCCAACTGCCTCGGCCTCCCAAAGTACTGGGAGTACAGGCATGAGCCACCATACCTGGCCTCATCTTTTTTATTTAAAAAAAAAAAAATCTAGTAGTATAGACTCACATATTTTTGTTTTATTCAATGGAGCATAATCCACTAGTATTGTTATTTTTTTAGATGTTCAGTTTACCAGATTTACCCAATGGGAGCCCCTTCAGAGTGGCTTTGGAGTCACTTTTTCTTTTCATTTTTTCTTTTTAATTTATTATTTGTTTATTTTTTGAGACAGAGTCTCACTCACTCTGTTACGAGAGCTGGAGTGCAGTGGCGCAGTCTCGGCTCACTGCAAGCTCCACCTCCAGGGTTGAAGTGATTCTCCTGCCTCAGCCTCCCAAGTAGCTGGGATTACTTGCGCCTGCCACCACGCCCGGCTAATTTTTATATTTTTAGTGGAGATGGGTTTTCACCGTGTTGGCCAGACTGGTCTCAAACTCCTGACCTCAGGTGATCCGCCCGCCTTGACCTCCCAAATTTCTGGGATTACAGACATAAGCCACCACGCCTGGCCTTGTCCTTATCATTCTTTGGGTACCTTTACTGGGGCAAAAGTGTTCCATGTTCATGTTTCTCTGCCCCCGCCCTGAAGTTATCCTTTTCTCGAAGGAGCCATTTAGGAAAAACATTCTCCTTACACAGTAGAATATGTAGAAACCAAGATAAAGACACTTGGTGTGCTCATTGCTTCTGGTATGTCTTTGCTTCCAGGCCTTCTCAGCAGACCAGTGGTTTGGACTACAGCTGTCACTTGGTGTCCCAGATTGGTTCCAGGACCCCCATAGATACCCAAATCTGCTGATGCTCAAGTCCCTTGCATAAAATAGCATATTATTTGCAGATAACGTACGCACATCCTCCTGTATACTGTAAATCACCTTTAAATTACTTATAATACCTAATACTATGTAAATAATGGTTATGTAATTTTTAAATTTGTATTAGTTTTTGCTGTATTGTTTTTCTTATTTTTTTCCCCTGAATATTTTTGATCCATGATTGGTTGAGCCTGCAGATGCATAGGGCTGTTGTCCAGGCTGGAGCACAGTGGCATGATGATGGCCCACTGCAGCCTTGAACTCCTGGGCTCAAGTGATCCTCTCACCTCAGCACCTCAACCTCCTGAGCAGCTGGAACCACAGAGGTGCACCATAATGCCTGGCTAATTTTTTTTTTTTTTTCTGAGACGGAGTGTTGTTCTGTTGCCCAGGCTGGAGTGCAGTGGTGTGATTTCAGCACACTGCAACCTCTGCCTCCCAGGTTCAAGTGATTGTCCTGCCTCAGCCTCCTGAATAACTGGGACTACAGGTGCATACCACCACACTCGGCTAATTTTTATATTTTTTAGAGGAGACAGGGTTTCACCACGTTGGCCAGGCTGATCTCTTAACTCCTGGCCTCAAGTGATCCACCCACGGCCAGGCATGGTGGCTCACACCTGTAATCCCAGCACTTTGAGAGGCCGAGACAGGCGGATCACCTGAGGTCAGGAGTTCGAGACCAGCCTGACCAACATGGAGAAACCCCGACTCTACTAAAAATACAAAATTAGCCAGGCATGGTGGTGCATGCCTGTAATCCCAGCTATTCGGGAGGCTGAGGCAGGAGAATCTCTGGAACTCGGGAGGCAGAGGTTGTGGTGAGCCAAGATTGTGCCATTGCAGTCCAGCCTAGGCAACAAGAGCGAAACTCCATCTAAAAAAAAAAAAAAAAAGTGACCCACCCAACTTGGCCTCCCAAAGTGCTGGGATTACAGGTATGAGCCACTGCACCCAGCCATTTTTTATAGAGACAGTCTCACTATTTTACCCAGGCTAGTCTTGAACTCCTTGGCTTAAGCAATCCTCCTACCTTGGCCTCTCAAAGTGCTGGAATTACAGATGTGAGCCATACGCCCAGTTCATTGGCTAAGTCAAATGGTATATTATACTTTTTTTCATCATAAGTTTTAAGAAGTCTTTCTTTTTTCAGATTATCAGACTTGAAAATGTATTTTCTATCATTGCTTTATTTTGTAGATGGAAATGACAGCTTTGAGTTTGCTCACTTTTTCTTTAGACCCTTTTAAGTAACATTTTAGGACTACATGGTAACTTACATATTAAGCTTCTTACTTAATTTTTTTTTTTTACTTACTTTCTTTTTACTTTTACAGTAAGGCAAAAGAGAATGAAAGACGTAGATAACCTCAAAAGTGTAAAACAAGAATGGTAAGTTAATTCAAACTGAATTGCTTTGTTAATGCCTTTGTTAATATCGTTCTGTGTTTTTGTTACATTTCACTGGCAGAGATAGTAGAGTAAGTTTTAATTATGTTTGACTACTTCATTGTCATCTATTATGTTGAAGTAATTTTTTTACCATAGCTGCATTAAACAAATTGTATTGAAGTTATTGAATGTTTTTTGTTATTAATTTTAAAAAGTTAAATTATCTGTGTTCATACATTACTTCTGTTATTTGACAAATTAAATAACTGTTTACCTCATTAGCCTCTTGTGATAGATATACTATTTTAGTGTCATGGTGGAAAGATGGCTTTGGAGTCAGATAAACCTAGGCTTGAATCCCATCTCTGCCTTGTTGTATTATCTCTCTGGCCTTCAGGCAGCTTAGGTAAATTCTTTGAGCCTCAATATCTCATCTATAAAATGAGGATATAAATACCTACCTATCTGAAAGGTTTATGTGTGTATCTTTTTTTCTTTTTTCTTTTATTTCTTTTCTTTTCTTTTTACAGACAAGTTGTCTGTTGCCCAGGCTAGAGTGCAGTGGTGCAATTATAGCGTATTGAAGCCTTGAATTCCTGGGGTCAAGTGATCATCTCACCTTGACTTCCTGAGTAGCTAGGACCACAGGCTTATACCACTGCACCCAGTTAATTTTTAAATTTCTTGTAGCAGTGTGGTCTCACTATATTGCTCAGAACTCCTGGCTTCAAGCGATCCTCCTGCCACAGCCTCTCAAAATGCTGGGATTATAAGCGTGAGCCACCATGCTTGGCCTATTATTTATTTTTTCACTCAGGTGTTTATAGGCTTACATAAATATTTGATGCTATTTATATAATTGTGAGGTTGTTGGCCGGGCACAGTGGCTCACGCCTATAATCTCAGCACTTTGGGAGGCCGAGGCAGGTGGATCATCTGAGGTCAGGAGTTCAAGACCAGCCTGGACAACATGGCAAAATCCCATCTCTACTAAAAATACAAAAATTAGGCGTGGTGGTGGGCGCCAGTAATCCCAGCTACTCGGGAGGCTGAGGAAGGAGAATTGCTTGAACCTTAGAGGCAGAGGTTGCAGTGAGCCAAGATCACACCACTGCACTCCAGCCTGGGTGACAGAGCAAGACTCCTCCGTCTCAAAAAATAAATAAATAAATAATTGTGAAGTTGTGTCAGAGGTCTCCAAGACCACCCCTAGTTTTGATGATTTACTAGAAGAATTTGTAAGATTTAGCATGTAGTTATGCTCCTGATTATAATTTATTACAGTGAAGGGTTACAAAGCAAAATCAGCAAAGGGAAAAAGTGCATGGGGAAAACCAGGCACAAGCTTCCAGGGGTCCTCACCCAGTGGAGTCGCCCAGGATGTACTTAATTCCCCCAGTAACAAGTTGTGACAAATACATGTGAAATACTGTCTACCGGGAAAGTTCATTGGCGATGAGCCTAGAGTTTATAGTGGGAGCTAGTCACATCCTAAAATTTCAGACTCTCATAAGGAAAGTAGGAGTTCAATATAAATCACATTGTTTATACAAACTGTACATTGAGCCAGCCTTACAAATTTAGGATGATGGGAACCTTCTAGAAATTCAAGTTTGCAGATGTGGCCAGGTGCGGTGGCTCATGCCTATAATCCCAGCACTTTGGGAGGCCAAGGTGGGTGGATCATGATGTCAGGAGATCGAGACCATCCTGGCTAACACGGTGAAACCCCGTCTCTAGTAAAAATACAAAACAAATTAACCAGGCATGGTGGCAGGCACCTGTAGTCCCAGCTACTTGGGAGACTGAGGCGGGAGAATGGCGTGAACCCGGGAGGCAGAGCTTGCACTGAGCCGAGATCGCACCACTGCACTCCAACCTGGCTGACAGAGCGAGACTCCGTCTTAAAAAAAAAAAAAAAAAAAAAATCCAAGTTTGCAGATGCCAGCCCAGGACTAACCTTGTAAGCAAGTCTTTCAAAAGATAGCAATCAGATCTGCTATATTAACTCATTTCTGCACAGCGATAAGTTGAATGATTTGAAATGGTAAAATTAACTTAGAACAGGCCTGTTTTAAAATGGCTTTATTGAAATATAATTCACATACCATATAATTCATTCACTTAAAATATATAGTTCAATAGTTTTTAGTATGCTCACAGATTTGTGCAGTCATTACCATAGTCAATTTTAACGCGTTTATATTACCCCAAAGAGAAACCCCATATCCATTAGCAATCCCACCCATTGTCCTATGCCTTGCCCCTGACAACCATGAAACTGCTTTCTTTTTTTGAGACGGAATCTCACTTTTTGCTCAGGCTGGAGTGCAATGGCATGATCTCAGCTCACTGCAACCTCCACCTCCCAGGTTTAAGCAGTTCCCCTGCCTCAGCCTCCTGAGTAGCTGGGATTACAGGCACGCCCCACCATGCCCAGCTAATTTTTTTTGTATTGTTAATGGAGATGGGGTTTTACCATATTGGCCAGTCTGGTCTCAAACTCCTGACCTCAGGTGTTCTGCCCACCTCAGCCTCCCAGAGTTCTGGGATTACAAGTGTGAGCCACTGTGCCTGGCCCATCTGCTTTCTATTTCTACAGATTTACCTGTTCTGGACATTTCATATAAATGCAGTTATACAGTATGTGGTCTTTCGTGACTGACTGCTTTCACTTAGCATAATGTTTTCAAGGTTCACCTATGTTGTAGAGCATGTATCAGTACTTTGAAATTTTTTTGATTTTGTTTTTTTTGAGATGGAGTTTTGCTCTTGTCACCTAAGCTGTGGTGCAGTGGCACAATCTTGGCTCACTGCAACCTCCGCCTCCCAAGTTCAAGCAATTCTCCTACCTCAGCCTCCCAAGTAGCTGGGACTACAGTTGTGCGCCACCACACCTGGCTAATTTTTGCATTTTTAGTAGAGACGGGGTTTCACCATGTTGTCCAGGCTGATGTCGAACTCCTGACCTCAGGTGATCCGCCCACCTCGGCCTCCCAAAGTGCTAGGATTACAGGCACGAGCCACCATGCCTGGCCTGTACTTTGAATTTTAAGTAAAATATTTAGTAAAGTACCTACACAAAAATATAGGTGATAGTTTATAATTTTCTTTGTAACAAAAATGGATTTGTAAAAATGTTTTGTTAAAAACAATGGCCCAGGGAAAAATGAAAAGAAAACTGCCTTTTTCTTTTTTTTTTTTTTTTGAGATGAAGTCTTGCTTTGTCACCCAGCTGGAGTGCAATGGCGTGATCTCGGCTCACTGCAACCTCCACCTCCCAGGTTCAAGCGATTCTCCTGCCTCAGCCTCCCAAGTAGCTGGGACTGTAGGTGCTAACTTTTGTATTTTTAGTAGAGATGGGGTTTTACCATGTTGACCAGGATGGTCTTGATCTCTTGACCTCGTGATCTGCCCACCTCGGACTCCTATAGTGCTGGGATTACAGGCATGAATCACTGCACCCGGCCTCTTTTTTTTTTTTTTCTTTTTTGAGACGGAGTCTTGCTCTGTCACCCAGACTGGAGAGCAGTGGCATGATCGGCTCACTACAACCTCTGCCTCCCAGGTTCAAGCAATTCTCCTACCTAAAGTCTCCCGAGTAGTTGGGATTACAAGCGCCCGCCACTATGCCTGGCTAATTTTTGTACTTTTAGTAGAGATGGGGTTTCACCATGCTGTCCAGGCTGGTCTTGGACTCCTGACCTCAGGTGATCTGTCCGCCTCGGCCTCCCAAAGTGCTGGGGTTACAGGCATGAGCCACCACGCCCGGCCAAAAAGTGCTTTTGGACTTACAGTTCCACATGGCTGGGGAAGCCTCACAATCCTGGCCGAAGGCAAGCAAGAGCAAGTTACGTCTTAAGATGGATGGCAGCAGGCAAAGAGAGAGTTTGTGCAGGGGAACTCCTCTTTTTAAAACCATCACATCTTGTGAGACTTATTCATTATCATGAGAACAGCATGGGAAAGACTTGCTCCCATGATTCAGTTACCTCCCACTGGTCCCTCCCACAACACATGGGAATTCAAGATGAGATTTGGGTGGGGACACAGCCAAACCATATCAATGACCCAACTGAAAAATGGAAGAAAATGCCAGGTTCAGTGGCTCACACCTGTAATCCCCGCACTTTGGGAGGCTGAGGCGGGCAGATCACGAGGTCAGAAGTTCGAGACCAGCCTGACCAACATGGTGAAACCCCATCTCTACTAAAAATACAAAAATAAGCTGGGCATGGTGGCGCACGCCTGTAATCCCAACTACCTGGGAGGCAGAGGCAAGATTGCGCCACTGCACTCCGGCCTGGGTGAAAAAGCGAGACAGTGTCTCAGAAAAATAAAAAAGAAAGAAAGAAAAATGGAAGAAAACGTCTGAATAGACATTTCTCCAAAGAAGACATACAAATGATCAACAGGTGTATGTTCAATGTCACTGGTAATCATCAGGGAAATGCAAATCAAAATAAGAGTAATCACCTCACACCTATCAGGGTGGCTATTATCAAAAAACAAAAGAGTTAGTCCTGGTGAGGATATGGAGAAAAGAGAACCCTTGTCCACTGTTGATGGGGATGCAAAATGGTGCATCTACTATGAAAAACAATATGGAGATTCCTCAAAAAATTAAAAATAGAATTGCCACAGAATGGATTACTGAATAGATCCAGGAATCCCACCTCTGGATATTATCCAAAGGAGTTAGAATCAGGATCTTGAAGAGGCTGGGTGCAGTGGCTCACATCTGCAATGCCAACACTTTGGAAAGCCAAGGCAGGAGGATCCCTTGAGGGAAGGACTTTGAAACCAGCCTGGTTCACATAGTGAGACCTCATCTCTACAAAAGAAAAATTAAAAAACTAGCCAGCTTGGTGACACATACCTGTAGACCCAGCTATTGAGGAGGCTGAGACAGGAGGATCGTTTGAGCCTAGGAGTTTGAGGCTGCAGTGAGCCATGATCATGTCACTGCACTTCTCCATTCTGGGTGACAGAGCCAGATCCTGTCTCAAAAAAAAAAAAAAAAAAATCACGAAAAGAGATGAATGGGTAAAGAATATATAATACATACCCCAAATGGAATATTATCCAGTCTTTTTTTTTTTTTTTTGAGATAGAGTTTCGCTCTTCTTGCCTGGGCTGGAGTGCAATGGCACAATTTCAGCTCACTGCAACCTCTGCCTCCCAGGTTCAAGTGATTCTCCTGCCTCAGCCTCCCAAGTAGCTGGCATTACAATTGTGTGCAACCACGCCCGGCTAATTTTCTATTTTTAGTAGACACAGGGTTTCACCATGTTGGTCAGACTGGTCTCAAACTCCTGACCTCAAGTGATCCGCCCGCCTCAACCTCCCAAAGTACTGGGATTACAGGCGTGAGCCACCATGCCCGGCTATTCAGTCTTGAGAAAGAAGGAAATTCTGCAGTATGCAACAACATAGATGAACCTTGAGGATATAATGGTGGTTGCCAGGGGCTAGGGGAAAGTGAAAATGAGGAGTTGCTAATCAGTGGGCATAAAGTTTCAGTTAAGCAAGATGAATAGATCCTAGAGATATGCTGAGCAACATAGTACCTATAGTTAACCACACTTTATTGTTCACTTAAAAATATGTTAAGAGGTTAGGTCTCATTTTAAGTGTTCTTTTAGAAAGTCCCTCACCTGAAACTTCTGTACTTTTAGTATTATGGGAACTCCTGACATTTTAAGACGTGTTTACTGGCTGAGCGCAGTGGCTCACACCTGTAATCCTAGCACTTTGGGAGGCCAAGGCAGGCAGATTTCTTGACCCCAGGAGTTCAAGAGTAGCCTGGGGCACATGGTAAACCCTCATCTCTACAAAATACAAAAATTAGCTATTGGAGAGACTGGAACTATAGGCATGTGCCACCATGCCTGGCTGATTTTTCTTATTTTTTTTATAGAGATGGGGTCTCCCTATGTTGCCCAGGCTGGTCTCAAACTCCTGGGCTCAAGGGATCCTCCCACCTCGGCCTCCTAAAGTGCTGGGATTATAGGCATGAGCCACTGCACCCAGCCTTCTTTCCAATCTGTATACATTTTATTTCCTTTCTTTATCTTACTGGATTAGCTAGGACTTCCAGTACAACACTGATGAGGAATGGTGAGATGCAACATCCTTGTCTTGTTCCTGATCTTACTGGGAAAGTGTCTAGTTTCTCGTGATTAAATATGTTAGATGTAGGCTTTTGCAGACATTCTTTACCAAGTTGAGGAAGTTCCCTTTCTATTCCTAGTTTGTGGGGGTTTTATTATGAATGGTTGTTAGATATTGTCTAATGCTTTTTCTGCATATGTTGATATGATTATATTATTTTTCTTCTTTAGACCGGTGATGTGATAGATTACATGAATTGATTTTCAGTGTTAACCCACTGCAGCCTCACATACCTAGGATAAATCCTGCACGGTTGTGGTGTTTACTTTTTTTTTTAATACATTGTTGTATTCTGTTTGGTAATATTTTGTTGAGTATTTTTGCATGTATGTTCATGATAAATTTTCTGTAGCTTTCCTTTCTTGTAATGTCTTTGGTTTTAGTATTAGCATAGTGTTATCCTTGTAGCATGAGTTAAAAGTTCCCTCTGCGGCCGGGCGCGGTGGCTCAAGCCTGTAATCCCAGCACTTTGGGAGGCCAAGACGGGCGGATCACGAGGTCAGGAGATCGAGACCATCCTGGCAAACACGGTGAAACCCTGTCTCTACTAAAAAATAAAAAAAACTAGCCGGGCGAGGTGGCGGTCGCCTGTAGTCCCAGCTACTCGGGAGGCTGAGGCAGGAGAATGGCGTAAACCCGGGAGGCGGAGCTTGCAGTGAGCTGAGATCCGGCCACTGCACTCCAGCCTGGGCGACAGAGCGAGACTCTGTCTCAAAAAAAAAAAAAAAAGTTCCCTCTGCTTCTATTTTCTGGAAGAGGTTATAGAGAATTGGTATTATTTCTTTCTTAAATTTTTGGTAGAATACTTCAGTGACATCATCCAGGCCCAGGGTTCTGTTTTGGAAGGTTACATATTATTGATTTAATTCCATTAGTATCCATAAGCCTGTTCATATTATCTATTCCTTATTGTGTGTGTTTTGATAGAGTGTGCCTTAGAAAAAATTGGTTCATTTCATCTAAGTTATCAATTTTAGGGGCATAAAGCAGTTCTTAATGCCTTTGCTACTCTTTCTTCCTGTGCGTATACACTCAAAAGTGAAACAAACCCATTACCACCTGTTCAATGGAGCCAGAGCGCCCCAGTTTTCTGAACTGTATTTTATATCTCTTATTATAGTTATTTTCTTTCTTTTTTTTTTAAAGACGGACTCTTGCTCTGTTGCCAGGCTGGAGTGCAGTGGCGTGATCTTGGCTCACTACAACCTCTGCCTCCCAGGTTCAAGCATTTCTCCTACCTCAGCCTCCCAAGCAGCTGGGACTACAGGCGCCTGCCACCATGCCCGGCTAATTTTTGTATTTTTAGTAGAGATAGAGTTTCACCATGTTGGCCAGATGGTCTTGATCTCTTGACCTCATGATCCGCCCATGTTGGCCTCCCAAAGTGCTGGGATTACAGGCATGAGCCACCGCACCCGGCCTACCAGTTATTTTCTCTCTCTTTCTCTTTTTTTTTGTTTGTTTCTTTCTTTCTTTCTTTCTTTCTTTCTTTCTTTTTTTTTTTTTTTTTTTTTTTAATGTTTTTGTTTTTCTTTAGAGACAGGGTCTTACTCTGTTGCCCAGGCCTGGAGTACATTGACATGATCTCAGTTCACTGCAACCTTGGCCTCCTGGGCTCAGCCTCCCAAGTCGCTGGGGCTACAGGCTGCACCACCATGCCCAGCTAATTATTTTCTTTTTTTATAGAGATGGGGTTTCGCCATGTTGCCCAGGCTGGTCTCCAATTCCTGGGCTCAAGCAATTCTCCCACTTTGACCTCCCAAAATGCTGGGATTACAGGCATGAGTCATTGTGCCTGGCTGTATTTTCTATTATAACTATTTCCTACTATACATCTCCACTCTACTCTACTCTTACTATACATTTCCACTCCACTCCACTCTACTGTACTCTGAACCTCTTATAAACATAGACTGTTTCTTACTCATCTTCATATATCCCTGTCACCTAGCATGTAGTAGATACTCAATAAATATTTGAGTAATTTGAATTCACATGATGAAGTTTAATAGAATTTACACATTAAATAAATAACATGAAGGAATAAAATTTCAGCTACTCTGGATGCTCAGCTTTATTAGCTTTGTATTTAGTAATTACTGATGGAGCACCAACTACCATCTGAACAGAAGAAATAGGTAAATACCAGAAAACATAAAATGGTTATAATGATATTACTAATATTTGAGAGTGTACTGTGTGCCAGTGTGTATACTGGTACTTACTATATACCATGTAAAGGCTTTTATATATGTTTTCATTTAATCTTCACAACAACCATGTGAAATAAGTGGTGGTATCTGTATTTTGCAAGCAAATCACATAGAAGTTAAGTTTCTTACCCATTGTCAGTGTGACTAAATGAAGGCACTTAAATACAAACAGCAATGCCCAGACTTTTAGACAGTGTGCTATACTGCTATGTGACTATGCTGATTAAAGGGAGGGGAAAATCACTAGTGTTATAAGAAACCATCTTAGGGTGTAACTATTTCTGTGTAAGAGGTATCATGTCATTGCTTTGGAAAAGGCATAATACTTTGTGATAATGTGGAGTGTTTTAAGAGTATATACAAGAGGACTACCTAGGGAAGGAAAAAAATGTATACCTAAGTTAAAGCACTGCCCTGAGTATCAGCATTTTAGTAACAATATAGTGATGGCCTTTTTTTTTTTTTTAAGAGACAAGGTCTCACTATGTTGCCGAGGCTAAAATGCAGTGGTTAGTCACTGCATTCTAGTGGGCTCAGTCAGAGCACACTACAGCCTCAAACTCCTGGCCTCAAGTGATGCTCCTCAAGTGACTACAGACGTGCACCACCACGCCAAGGCTCAGTGATGGCTGTTTTCCATGACAGTCTAGCATAGTGATTAAGAGCAGAGGCACTGGTAGCTTGAGTTCAGTTCCTAGCACTGCCTCCTAATAGCTTTGTGGTCTCTGGCAAATTACTTAAGCTTTTTCTTCATCTATTAAATGGGGATAAAAATAATACCTACCTTTTAGGGTCATTGTGAGGATTTGAATGAGTTGGCACACGTAAGGTACTTAGAATAGTTCTTTATAAGATGTCATGGTTAGGATCACAGACTTGGGAGACAGAGTAGTATGGTGGTAAGTTAACAGTTTCTAACTTATATTTCCTGGCACAGTATAAGAGGTATAGAAGTATGATTGTTATTATTTATAGAATTTGAGAAATCATATTTCTGTACTTTTATAAAATTTCCTGTGTGATTTCAAAAGAGAACAACCAGAAACCATCTTTTCTAGCAAACAGAATCTTAGATAATGTTTCTTTTTTTTGAGACAGAGTCTCACTCTGTCGCCAGGCTGGAGTGCCGTGGCATGATCTCGGCTCACTGCAGCCTCTGCCTCCCAGATTCAAGCGATTCTTCTGCCTCAGCCTCCTGAGTAGCTGGGACTACAGGTATGCACCACCACGCCTAGCTAATTTTTGTATTTTTAGTAGAGATGGGGTTTCATCACGTTGTCCAGGATGGTCTTGATCTCTTGACCCTGTGATTCACCCGCCTCAGCCTCCCAAAGTGCTGGGATTACAGGCAGGAGCCACTGTGCCCGGCCTCTCCAAAACATTCTTAAAACTCAGCCAGCTGTGGCAATGTGCGCCTATAGAACCAGCTACTTGGGAGAGAATCACTTGAGCCCAGGAGGTTGAGGCAGCAGTGAGCTGTAATCATGCACTCCATCCTGGGTGACAGAATGAGACTCTGTCTCAAAAATAAACAAATAAATCACTATAAATAAAGTCTTCAGTGGGAAATATTCTGAAGTGTGCAAAGGAGCAAAAATGCAATTGTTGCTGATGCATTATCCCCTTTAGTTCAAGAGTGTTTTCTGTTACCAAAAAATGCATAGTAATCCCTTTTAAAGCCATTTTGAACCCTTTAAAAATAACACATTTTGGCCAGGAGCAATGGCTCACACCTGTAATCCCAGTACTTTGGGTGGCCAAGACAGGCATATCACTGAAGCCCAGGAGTTTGAGAGCAGCCTGGGCAACATGGTGAAATCCCATCTCTACAAAAAATTAGCTGGACATGGTGGTGCAAGCCTGTAGTCCCAGCTACTTGGGGGTCTGAAGTGGGAAGACTGGTTGAGCCCTGGAGGTTGCGACTGTAGTGAGCTGAAATCGCGCCACTACACTCCAGCCTGCGCGACAGAGAGGGACCTTGTCTCAAAAAAACCTGAAAAAACAAAGAAAACACCACATTTTTTACTCCAGACCAGTGGTTTTTAACCTGGAGAGATTTTGCACCTAGACACATTTGGCAATGTGAAGAGATGTTTTTGGTTGTTACAACACTGGGGATTGGGGATGGGCCAGGGATGAGGATCCTACTTGTTGTATCTCATGGGTAAAGGCCAAGGATACTGTTAAACATCTGCAACAGTGATCCCCAACTTTTTTGGCACCAGCGACTGGTTTTGTGGAAGACAGTTTTTCCACCGACCTGTGGGGGGAGAAGAGGAGATGATTTTGGAATGATTCAAGCACATTACATTTATTTGCACTTTATTTCTATTATTATTATATTGTAATGTATAATGAAATAATTATACAGCTCACCATAATGTAGAATTAGTGGGAGCCCTAAGCTTGTTTTCCTGCAACTAGATGGTCCCATTTGGGGGCGATAGGAAACAGCGACAGATCATGAGGCATTAGAGTCTCATAAGGAGCATGCAGCCTAGATCCCTTGGATGCTCAGTTCACAGGTTCATGCTCCTATGGGAACCTAATGCCACCACTGATCTGACAGGAGGCAGAGCTCAGGTGGTAATGTGAGCGATGGGAGTGACAGTAAATACAGATGAAGCTTTGCTTGCTCGCCTGTCACTCACCACCTGCTGTACGACCTGGTTCCTGACAGGCCATGGGCCTAGGGATTGGGGATCCCAATCTCCAAGTCACAGGACACCTCAAACAGCAAAGCCTTATTCATTTCTAAATGTTAATAGAGCTGAAGTTGAGAAAACCCTGCTCTGAACTAAAAAGGGGTTAATGACTTCCCCAAGATTATATTAACTTAGAAGAGGGCCTGAACTAGAGACATGCACATAGCATCTAAGTTCAATATCCTTAACTAGAACAAAATAAGTAAATTTTTAGAGACCTAATAGTTAATAGTGCCTGTTTTTCTTTATCTTATTTAGGGTTTGTGAAACAGGATCTGATAATCAACCTCTTAGTAATAATCAACAATCAAATTGTGAATATTTTGTTGATAGCCTTTTTGAGGAAGCTCAGAAGGTTGGTTCCAAATGCGTGTCTCCCACTGAACAGAAGAAACAGGTAAATAAATGTCTATTGCTTTTCTTTTTCTTCCAGTGTTTCTCAATATATGGATCTGTTAGAGGGTCCCTAAGGTCAAAATTGTTTTGTTTGTCTGAGACAAGGTCTTTCTCTGTCACCAAGACTGGAGTGCAGTGGCTCGATCTGATCTTGGCCCACGGCAGCCTCAAGCTCCTGGGTTCAAGCAGTCCTCCTGCCTCGGCTTTCCTGGGTAGCCTGGAGCTCAGGCACACACCACCATGCCCAGCTAATTGTTTTGTTCTTTTGTAGAGATTGGGTCTTGCTTTGTTGCCCAGGCTGGTCTCAAATTCCTGGGCTCAAGTAGTTCTCCTGCCTCGGTTTCCCAAAGTGCTGGGATTATAGGTATGAAGCCAAAACTGTTTTCATAATAGATATTATTTCCCTTTTTCACTATGTTCACAAGCTAGGGACACCTATAATCCCAGCACTTTAGGAGGCTGAGGCAGAAGGATCACTTGAGCCTAGGAGTTAAAAACCAGTCTGGGCAATAAAGCAAGACCTATCTCTACAAAAGAATAAAAAAATTAACTGGGCATGGTGACATGTGCCTGTAGTCCCAGGTTCTTGTGAGACTGAGTTGGGAGGATTGTTTGAGCTCAGGAGTTTGAGGCTGCAGTGAGCCATGACCGTACCACTGTACTCCAGCCTGGGTGACAGAGTGAGACCCTGACTGGTAAGGTAAGGGTAGGGTAAGGTAAACTAACTGTTCATTTTGCACTGATATTGCAAAAGTAGTGGTGGGTAAAACTACAACACCTTAGCAGGAATCAAGGCAGTGGCAACAAACTGCTGGCAGTTACAGGTTAACATCCCAAACCCACCGAATCCAAAAATCCAAAATGCTTCAAAATCCAAAATTTTTTTAGTGCTGACATGATGCTCAAAGGAGATGCTCATTGGGGGCATTTCAGATTTTGAGTTTTGAATTTGGAAAGCTCAATCAGCAAATATTTCAGAATCTGAAATTCAAAACCCTTCTGGTCCCAAGCATTTCAGATAAGGGATATTCAACCTGTACTTTATTCTTTGCATATACTTCCAAGGGGGAAAAAAAACTAATTTTAATTAAGAATGTCCTTGATGAAGCAGTAGAATTTATAAATTTTGTATCTCGGCCAGGCGTGGTGGCTCATGCCTGTAATCCCAGCACTTTGGAAGGCTGAGGCGGGCAGATCATGAGGTCAGGAGTTCAAGATCAGCCTAATCAACATGATGAAACCCTGTCTCTACTAAAAGTACAAAAATTAGCCGGGCATGGTGGCGCATGCCTATAGGCCCAGCTACTCAGGAGGCTGAGGCAGGAGAATTGCGTGAACCTGGGAGGTGGAGGTTGCAGTGAGCCGAGATTGCACCACTGCACTCCAGCCTGGGCGACAGAGCTAGACTTGGTCTCAAAATAAATAAATAATTTAATTAATTAATTATGTATCTCAAACCTTGAATGTATATCTTAATATTCTGTGTGACAAAATGCAAAGTATACATAAAGTATTTCTATAATACACAGAAGTGTCTCAAGGAAAGGTGCAGTTATTTGAGATCAACAAACTGTCTGCTTTTTCATGGCATATTGTTTCTGCAAGAAAGAATGGTTTACATACAGACTATGGATATTCCAACTTGCTCTGTCACCCAGGCTGGAGTGCAACAGCAAGATCTCGGCTCATTGCAACCTCCGCCTCCCAGGTTCAAGCAATTCTTCTGCCTCAGCCTCCCTAGTAGCTGGGATTATAGGCGCGCACCACCATGCCTGGCTAATGATTTGTGTTTTTAGTAGAGATGGGGTTTCACCATGTTGGTAAGGTTGGTCTCGAACTCCTGATCTTGTGATCTGCCCGCCTTGACTTCCCAAAATTCTGGGATTACAGGCGTAAGCCACCACACCTGGCCTAGCAGATATTTTCTTTTTTTTTTTTTTGAGACAGAGTGTCGCTCTGTCACCCAAGCTGGAGTGCAGTGGTGCGATCTCGGCTCACTGCAAGCTCCGCCTTCCAGGTTCACGCCATTCTCCTGCCTCAGCCTCCCAAGTAGCTGGGACTATGGGCGCCCGCCACCACGCCTGGCTAATTTTTTGTATTTTTAGTAGAGACAGGGTTTCACAGTGTTAGCCAGGACGGTCTCACTCTCCTGACCTTGCGATCCACCTGCCTTGGCCTCCCAAAGTGCTGGGATTACAGGTGTGAGCCACCGTGCCTGGCTTTTTTTTTATTTTTATTTTTTAAATTTTTTTATTTTTTGAGACAGAGTCTTGCTCTGTCACCCAGGATGGAGTGCAGTGGCACAGTCGGCTCACTGCAACCTCCATCTCCTGGGTTCAAGCCATTCTCCTGCTTCAGCCTCCCCAGTAGCTGGGATTACAGGCATGCACCACCATGCCTAGCTGATTTTTACATTTTAGTAGAGATGGGGTTTCACCATGTTGGACAGGCTGGTCTCGAATTCCTGACCTTGTGATCCACCCGCCTCAGCCTCCCAAAGTACTGGGATTACAGGCATGAGCCACCGCGCCCAGCCGTGCCTGGTAGATAGTTTCTAATAATGAATGAAGTGAGCCTGACACTTCAAGGAAAACAACTTATAGTAGCTGTTGAAAATGATAAATTTTTATTTAACCAACTTTTTTTTTTTGAGACGGAGTCGCGCTCTGTCGCCCAGGCTGGAGTGCAGTGGCATGATCTCGGCTAACTGCAAGCTTCGCCTCCCGGGTTCACACCATTCTCCTGCCTCAGCCTCCCCAGTAGCTGGGACTACAGGCGCCTGCCACCACACCTGGTTAATTTTTTTGTATTTTTAGTAGAGATAGGGTTTCACCGTGTTAGCCAGGATGGTCTCGATCTCTTGAGCTTGTGATCTGCCCTCCTCGGCCTCCCAAAGTGCTGTGATTACAGGCATGAGCCACCGCGCCTGGCCTTAACCAACTTTTTAAGTGAAAATAACACTTTTAGAAAATTGCCACTATAGGCTGTGCTTGGTGGCTCACGCCTGTAATCCCACCACTTTGGGAGGCCAAGGTAGGTGAATCACTTGAGGCCAGGAGTTCAAGACTAGCCTGGCTAACATGGCGAAACTCTTTCTCTACTAAAAAATACAAAAAATTAGCTGGGCTTGGTGATGCACACCTGTAATCTCAGCTACTCAGGAGGTTAAGGCATGAGAATCACTTGAACCTGGGAGGCAGAGGTTGCAGTGAACCAAAATCGTGTCACTGCTCTCTAGCCTGGGTAACACAGCAAGACTGTCTAAAAAAAAAAAAAGAAAAGAAAAAGCCACCATACCTTGACAGTGTCTCAAAACTTAAGGAATTTCCTAGTGAGATTAGTGTCATTTTGATAAATATAAATTTTATTATATAATTAAATGTGTCAGCAGTTGGAAGATCTGCATAATTAAGAAAACCAGTATTTTCCAAATGACCAATATATGATGTTATAAAGTGATGCATGAGTAAAAGAGCCAAAGAATCACATATACTAAAAGATTTTAATGTAACAAGTATATGAAAAGATGGTTGGTAAGTTTCAGATTCCACATTCAGATTCTCAACTAACTTTTGAGATAATACTACTACTTATTAAATTTTGATGAAGTGTCAAAGAATATCCTGGGAAGGCTATTAAAATACTTCTTTTTCTAACTGCATAACTGTAAGAGGTTTGGTTTTTTAAAAAAACATTTCAGCCGGGCACGGTGGCTCAAGCCTGTAATCCTAGCACTTTGGTCAGGAGATCGAAACCATCCTGCCTAACCCGGTGAAACCCCGTCTCTACTAAAAAGTACAAAAAACTAGCCGGGCGAAGTGGCGGGTGCCTGTAGTCCCAGCTACTCGAGAGGCTGAGGCAGGAGAATGGCGTAAACCTGGGAGGCGGAGCTTGCAGTGAGCTGAGATCTGACCACTGCACTCCAGCCTGGGGGACAGAGCGAGACTCCGTCTCAAAAAAAAAAAAAGAAAAAGAAAAAAAAAATTTAAATCAAAATAACACGTCAAAGCAGACTGCGAACGGTACCAATTACGAGACCCCAGCTGATTTTTTGACTTGAGACATTTAAAAAAGTATTTATGAAAAATCCCTTCACTCTGATTTGGTTTTCAAATTAAAACTTAATCTGTTAGTTGTAAAAGGCTTATGTTGAAAAGTAGCAGGCTTGTTACTCCTTGGCCCTAGCATCTACTTTCTTTTTTCTTTTTTAAGTTGGCATTTCACTCCTGTTGCCCAGACTGGAGTGCAATGGTGCGATCTTGTCTCACCGCAGCTTCCGTCTCCCGGGTTCAAGCAATTCTCCTACCTCAGCCTGGGATTACAGGCATGCACCACCACGCCTGGCTAATTTGTATTTTTAGTAGAGACGGAGTTTCTCCATGTTGGTCAGGCTGGTCTTGAACTCCTGACCTCAGGTGATCCGCCTGCCTTGGCCTCCCAAAGTGCTAGGATTACAGGCATGAGCCACTGCATCTGGCCACATCTACTTTCCAGAGGCAACAAGTTATAACTCTTAGGTATTTCTACTGACATGAGCTTTCTGTTTCTGATAATATGCTAATAGTGATAGTTCTTGATTTTTCAGATTTTTGAATTATGTATTCACTTTGTATTATAGATAATAAGGATTTAACTCTATTTCTACCTTCCCCCTCTCCCCAAATCACCTCTTCCCATTCTTCTAACATAGTTATGTTACAATTGGGGATTAAATCAATTGTTATTTGTATCTGTAAAAGTGTAAATACCATACAACTGTACAGCATAAGCGAAAGCCACCATGCCTGGCCCACAAGTTAAAATTTTTCTAAGAGAAGACTGTGGTGAAACCCTCCTTCCTTCAGTGGACTGTTTGTCCACTGGGGAACTCTACTGCTCTTGCTCTGGAATCTATAATCCTGAGTATTCTCCTCTCTCCTGATTACTCAATTCTATGCCTCGCCCAACATCACCTCCTCCTTATATTTTAATGTTTATGAAGCCAGTTGTATTAGTCCATTTTTACGCTGCTGATAAAGACATACCCGAGACTGGGAAGAAAGGAAGTTTAATTTGACTTACAGTTCCACATGGCTGGGGAGGTCTCATGATCATGGCACCAGCAGCAGAAAATGAGCAAGAAGCAAAAGTGGAAACTCCTGATAAACCCTCCAGATCTTGTGAGACTTACTCACTATCACAAGAATTGCATGAGAAAGATGGGCCCCCATGATTTAATTATCTCCCCCTTGGTCCCTCCCACAACACATGGGAATTCTGGGAGATACAATTCAACTTGAGATTTTGGTGGGGACACAGCCAAACCATATCAATGATTTTAATTTTTTGTAGAAACTGGGTCTTGCTATGTTGCCAGGGCTGGTGTCCAACTCCTAGGCTCAAGCAGTCGTGCCTTGGCCTCCCGAAGTGCTGGGATTACAGGAGTGAACCACCCTACCCAGCTTGAATAGTGATAGAAGAAATTTTCAAAGAACATTCAATCCTACTACATTTTATTAACATGATGCATTTTGTTTCCTACTGTTTTGCAGGTAGATGTAAATATAAAATTATGGAAAAACGGATTCACCGTCAACGATGATTTCAGAAGTTATTCCGATGGTGCCAGTCAGCAGTTTTTGAACTCCATCAAAAAAGGGTGAGTAGCCAGGTGTAGTGGCTCAAGCCTGTAATCCCAAAACTTTGGCAGGCTATGGCGAGAGGATTGCTTGAGCTCAGGAGTTCAAGGCCAGCCTGGGTAGTAACATAGCCAGACCTTATCTCTACTTAAAAAAACATTACCCAGCCAGCCCAGCTACTCAGGATTGCTTGCATGTGGGAGATTGAGGCTACAGTGAGACATACTTGCATCCTGCACTCCAGCCTGGGCAACAGCACGAGGCCCTGTCTCCAAAAAAAAAAGGCGGGGGATGGGGGGCAGCGGGCATGGTGGCTCGTGCCTGTGATCCCAGCACTTTGGGAGGCCGAGGCGGGCAGATCACCTGAGGTTGGGAGTTCCAGACCAGCCTGACCAACATGGAGAAACCCCATCTCTACTAAAAATACAAAATTAGCCAAGTGTGGTGGCACATGCCTGTAATCCCAGCTACTCGGGAGGCTGAGGCTGGAGAATGGCTGAAATCCAAGAGGCGGAGGTTGCAGTGAGCCAAGATTGCACCATTGCACTCTACCCTGGGCAACAAGAGCAGAACTCCATCTCAAAAACAAAACAAAACAAAACAAAAACAAGGTGGGGTAAGTAATCTTTGTAATAGGAAGATACTTTAGGCATTTTTTTTTTTTTGGTGAAAGAATCTATGTTAATGTTCACACACCCCCTACACATTCACAGATACACTTTTTCTTTTGTACATTCACATTTTTATAAGATGAATTTTCTTAAGAGAACCACAACTACAGGTTTTTTTTCAAGATGGTGTCTCGCGCTTTCACTCAGGCTGGAGTACGGTGGCATGATCTCAGCTCAATGCAGCCTCCGCATTCTGGGGTCAAGTGATTCTCGTGCCTCAGCCTCCCGAGTAGGTGAGATTACAGGTACCTGCCATGGTGCCCGTCTAATTTTTATATTTTTAGTAAAGAACAGGGTTTTACCATGTTGGCCAGGCTAGTCTCCAACTCCTTACCTCAAGTGATGATCTGCCTGCTCTGCCTCCCAAAGTGCTGAGATTACAGGCGTGAGCCACCACGCCCAGCCAACAACTATAATTTTGAAGAAAGTTTAGGAACTTGAATTCTGATCAACCCAAATCTTACTTAAACTAATTTACTAAGTATTTTCTAATACCTCATTTTCTTTATTATTTAATATTTATGTTAAATATCTTTAAAGTCTTTAAAATGATCATGGTAGAACTCTTTCTGACCCTTCTCTGGCTTGGCAGGCTGCCCGATTAATGAATAAAAATTTTAAAAGAAAAAAAATTGTTGCCGGACACAGTGGCTCACATCTGTAATCCCAGCACTTTGGGAGGCTGAGGCCGGTAGATCACAAGGTCAGGAGTTCGAGACCAGCCTGGCCAACATAGTGAAACCCCATCTCTACTAAAAATACAAAAATTAGCCGTGCATGGTGGCACATGCCTCTTAGTCCCAGCTACTCGGGAGGCTGAGGCAGGAGAATCGCTTGAACCCGCAAGGCAGAGGCTGTGGTGAGCCAAGATCATACCACTGCACCCTGGCCTGGGCAACAGAACCAGACTCCATCTCAAAAAAAAAAAATTGTAATGTTTACTATATATTTATGAATCTTACGTATTATACATGCTTGGTCTAGAAAATTTTTTTAAGTATTAAGAACTCGAAAATCAGCCAGGCGTTGTGGCTCATGCCTGTGATCGCAGCACTTTGGGAGGCCGAGGTGGGTGGATCACCTGTGGTCAGGAGTTCAAGACCAGCCTCGCCAACATGGCGAAACCCCATCTCTACTAAAATATACTAAAATTAGCCGGGCAAAGTAGCAGGCGCCTGTAATCTCAGCTACTTCAGAGGCTGAGGCAGGCAGAATTGCTTGAACCCAGGAGGCGGAGGTTGCAGTGAGCCAAGATGGTGCCACTGCACTTCAGCGTGGGTGACAGAGCGAGACTCTGTCTCAAAAAAAAAGAACTTAAAAATCACTTATAATTTAACCACTCACAAGTAACTACTGTTAACATTTTTGTTGAATTTCATTCTATCATTTGTGTCCATAGATGCATATATATACTACATATATATTTATTTTTAAAACAATTTTAAAATCATCATCAAATATTTCAATATATCTGAATATTATTTTATCACAACAGTGCCCCATAATTTTTATATATACTTAAAATGTTCTTGGCAACATAGATTTTTTTGTTTTTATGTTTTTTGGGGCTGGAGTGCAGTGGCATGATCATAGCTCACTGCAGCTTCAAACTCCCCATCTCAAGTGGTCCTCCTACCTCGGCCTCCCAAATAACTGGAACTATAGGTGTGTGTCACCATGCCCAGCTAATTTTTTTTTAATTTTTAGTAGAGATGAAATCTTGCTATGTTACCCAGGCTGGTCTCAAACTCCTGAGCTCAAGCGATCCTCCTGCCTCGACCTGCCAAAGTGCTGGGATTACCAGCGTGACCCACCATGCCCAGCCAAGTATTTTAAACTTTGCCACTATGAAAAATATTTTTGACTATTTTCTTGTACTTATGTTAAAAAAAAAAAAACCAACTTTGTTTAGATATAATTAACCTACCATAAAATTCATCCCTTTGAAGTATATAGTTCAGTATTTTTAATACGTCTACAGAGTTTTACAGTCATCAGCACAGTCTAATTTCAGAATATCATTATCACCTCCAAAAGCCAAATATATACTAGAAGTCACTCTCCATTTTTCCCTTCACTGCAGCCCTGACATAACCATGAATCCACTTTGTGTCTATCTCTATGGATTTCCGTCTCTATGCATTTGCCTGTTCAACTCATTTTCACATTTTGGGCTATTATGAATAATGCTACTATGAACATTTATATACAAGTTTTTGTGTGGTCATATGGTTTTATTTCTCTCAGGTATAAATCTAGGAGTGGAATTATTAACTCTTATGTTAACTTTATGAAGAACTGCCCAAATGTATTCCAAAGTGGCTGTACCATTTAACATTCCTACCAGCCATGTATGAGGGTTCCAGTTTTCCACATCATAATACATGTTAGCTTCTGTTTTTTTAAATTATAGCCATTTTAGTGGTTGTGAAGGGGTATGTCATTCTGGTTTTGATTTACATTTCTCTAATGACCAGTGATGTTGAGTGTCTTTTCATGTGCTTATTGGCCATTTGTACATCTTCTTTGGAGAAATGTCTGTTCAAATCCTCTGTCCAGTTTTTTGCTTTTTTTTTTTTTTTTGAGACAGAATCTTACTCTGTCGGCCAGGCTGGAGTGCAGTGGCATGATCTCGGCTCACTGCAACCTCCACCTCCCAGGTTCAAGTGATTCTCCTGCCTCAGCCTCCCAAGTAGCTGGGATTACAGGCATGTACCACCACACCCGGCTAGGGTTTTACCATGTTGGCCAGGCTGGTCTTGAACTCCTGACCTCTGGTGATCCACCTGCCTGGGCCTTTCACATTGCTGGGATTAGAGGCGTGAGCCACTGTGCTTAGCCTGTTTATATTTTCAGGTGGGTTATTTGCCTTTTTGTTGAGTTGTAAGAATTCTTCATTTTTTCTGAATACAAATTCCTTATCAGATACATGATTTGCGAATATTTTATCTCATTCTTTGAGTGCCTTTTGACTCAAACAGAAAAAAATAAAACAATTACATAGAATTACAGTATGTATAGAGTGGTATTTATTCACTAAAATATTTTTTAAACTTTCTTATTGAAGTATGGCTTATATACACAAAAATACAGGCCAGGTAGGCCAGGTGCAGTGACTAATGCCTGTAATCTCAGCACTTTGGGAGGCGAAGGCAGGAGGATCATTTGAGCCCAGGAATTAAACCAGCCCTGGCAACATAGCGAGAACCTTTCTCTACAAAAAAAAAAAACCTAAAAAATCACCTGGGTGGCGCACGCCTGTAGTCTTGGCTACTCAGGCAGCTAAGATGGGACAATCGCTTGAGCCCAAGAGGTCGCAGCTACAGTGACCCATGTTGGTGCCACTGGACTCCAGCCTGGGCAACAGAGTGAGCTCCTATCTCAAAAAAAAAAAAGAAAGAAAAAGAAAAAAGAAAAGTACAGAAATCATAAATATATACTAAATGAATTTGTATTATTATTCTGTCAGAATAAATCAACTACTTTATTAGAATTTGTTAAAATTTGTCCTTTGGCCAGGCGTGGTGGCTCACGCCTGTAATCCCAACACTTTGGGAGGCTGAGGTGGGCAGATCACTTGAGCCTAGGAGTTCAGGACCAGCCTGGACAACATGGTGAAACCCCATCTTTACAAAAAATACAAAAATTAGCTGGGCATGGTGGCCTATAGTCCCAACTACTCAGAAGTCTGAGGCAGGAGGATCGCTTCAGCCCAGGAGGTCATGCAGTGAGCCATGATTGCACCTCTGCACTCCAGCCTGGGCAACAGAATGAGACCCTGTCCACCCCACCCCCACCAAAAACAAAAACAAAAACAAAAAACTCAAATTGCTTAGTTAACAGCGATGTCCAGTCTTTTGGCTTCCTGGGTTACACTGGAAGAAGAAGAATGGTCTTGGGGCACACATAAAATACGAAAATACACAAATACTAACGATAGCCAATAAGCTTTAAAAAATTGCAAAAAAATCTCATAAATCTCATAATGTTTTAAGAAAGTTTACAAATTTTTGTTGGGTCACATTCAAAGCCATCCCAAGCCACCGGTTGGACAAGCTTGGCGTAGTATATAGTCATCAAGTATTTCATGACTTTAGTACTATTCTAGGTACTGCTATAAAACTCATGCTGGTTGCGGGGCGGTGGTTCACGCCTATAATCCCAGCACTTTGGGAGGCTGAGGGAGGAAGATCGCTTGAGCCCAGGAGTTCAAGACCAGCCTGGACAAGATCCTGTCTCTACAGAAAATTTAAAAAATATATGTTTTCACAATAAAAAATAATAATAATTAAAACTCATGCTATTCATGAGCTTATGGTCTTAAAAATTATATTGTTCTTGTGGGTTTTTGGTGTTGTTCATATTATTTAACTACATTGTTTTGAATATATTTGGTTATTTCATTGTAGGGAATATTATATATCTTATTTCTGTATATTTCTACGTATTATTCATTTTTTGTATGTACAGAATGTTTTTCAGAGAAATAAAATACCCGGGGAGCTTTATCATTTTATTTCTTTGTTTTCCAAGGGAATTACCTTCAGAATTACAGGGAATTTTTGATAAAGAGGAGGTGGACGTTAAAGTTGAAGACAAGAAAAATGAAATATGTTTGTCTACAAAGCCTGTGTTCCAGCCCTTTTCAGGACAGGGTCACAGACTAGGAAGGTAAGTATGCCTATTGTCTTGTTTTCCATAGATCAAGGCTTAACTAATATTCTGTCTATCATTATTTTACCCATGTAGACCACATGAATAGAGCTTATCATTTCTCCCATTGGAAATTAGATTTTTTTTAATGTTAATTTTTATGAGGACTCCTAAGTCATAGTTACCTAAGTGTATATTCACAATGCCTGGCCGGGTGCAATGGCTCATGCCTGTAATCCCAGCACTTTGGGAGGCCAAGGTGGGCAGATCACCTGAGGTCAGGAGTTCAAGACCAGCCAGACAAACATGGAGAAACCCTGTCTCTACTAAAAATACAAAAAAATTAGCCAGTCATGGTGGCACATGTCTGTAATCCCAGGTCCTCAGGAGGCTAAGGCAGGAGAATCGCTTGAACCCAGGAGGCAGAGGTTGCAGTGAGCCAAGATCGTGCCATTGCTCTCCAGTCTAGGCAACAAGAGTGAAACTCCATTTCAAAAAAAAAAAAAAAATGCCAGCACCACACTAAAAAATGTTGGAGGTTTTTTTGGTTTTTTCAAACAGAAGGGCTTGGCTCTTTACGGACAGAATTCAATTGGTAAGTTCTTTTCTCTCCCTTTCACTCACTACTATAGAGTACATGTGCTAGCTTTTGAATATTATTGTTCTTTTTTTTTTTTTTTCTTTTTTTTTTGAGACAGAGTCTCACTCTGTTGCCCAGGCTGGAGTGTAGCAGCACGATCTTGGCTCACTGCAATTTCTGCCTCCCTGGTTCAAGCAATCCTTCTGCCTCAGCCCTTCTAGTAGCTGGGATTACAGGCACACACCCCCATGTCCAGCCAATTTTTGTATTTTTAGTAGAGACAGGGTTTCGCCATGTTGGCCAGGCTGGTCTTGAACTCCTACCCTCAGGTGATCCACCCACCTCGGCCTCCCAAAGTGCTGGGATTACAGATGTGAGCCACCACGCCCAGCCTATTGTTCTCTTTTATGGTTACCACTGCCTGCAACATTTTGTTCTATGATCTATGTATGAATTTTGAGGTAATAAAAATGAAAATCAGTGTCAGTATCAAAGCCTTAAATTATTTTCAAGTTTTACAGTTTCCATCCTATCTAACAGAATACGCAGAGAGATTAGATAGATATGGGAGCTCTTTGATTTTTATAAATTCTCATATTTTTAATTATCAAGATTGGTAAGGTGCATACATATTCATCCACATGTACAAATATATCTGGATGCACCCTTCAGAATGATCAGGAAGTACTTTATTTAGTTTCTTTTTCATTATAACCTAAGGACTAAGCTCAATAAAGAATTTATCATTTATTTTAGAAATTTAACCTGGGCAGTAGGTAAAGGTAAAGTCCATAGATCTGTGAACCTTCTTTAAAATTATCCATTCTGTAAAGCACTACTCAATAAATACCAGTAATAATATATGTAGCTTACAAATTACTTGGATATGTATAGTTTCATCAGATTATTAGAACCATCATACCATCATATATTGTGGACATAAATAATATATCTTTCATTATTATTGAAGAAACAGATATAACTTACAAAAATCTTCCTAAAAGCTATACTTGCTGTAATATTTTTATAGTAATTATTTAATGATAAAGGTTTATTGAATGGAAAAACATGTCTAACTTTGTTGTCTGGATTTCCTTAGTGCCACACCAAAAATTGTTTCTAAAGCAAAGAATATTGAAGTTGAAAATAAAAATAATTTGTCTGCTGTTCCGCTGAACAACATGGAACCCATTACTAATATACAGATCTGGTTAGCCAATGGGAAAAGGATTGTTCAGAAATTTAACATTTCTCATAGGTGAGTCTTCAATTTCAGTATATGATTTTTTTTCACCAAGTTTAAATTTCATTTCTTCTTTTCAGTTCGGTCAACAGTTTAATTTTAGAGATAGAATCTTTGTTGCCCAGGCCAGAGTGCAGTACCACAGTCATAGCCCACTGCAGTCTTGAAGTCCTGGATTCAAGCAGTCCTCCCACCTCAGCCTCCTGAGTTGTAGAACTACAGCCACATGCCACCATGCCCCGCTAACTTTTATTTTTTTTAATTTATGTATTGCCAGCTAATTTTAAAAACTGTTTTGTAGAAAGGGGGTCTCACTGTGTTGCCCAGATTGGTCTCAAACTCCTGGACTGAATTCATCCTCCTGCCTTAGCCTGGGCTTGGCATCCTGCCAAGCATTCTATCTATCTATCCAACTATCTATCTATCTATCTATTTATTTATTTATTTATTTATTTTTGAGACAGAGTCTCGCTGTGTTGCCCAGGCTGGAGTGCAGTGGCGCAATATAGTGAGACCTCATCTCTACAAAAAAAAACTTTTTTAATTAGCTGAACATGGTGGTGCACATCCGCAGTCCCAGCTACTTGGGAGGAGAATCGCTTGAGCCTAAGAGGTAGAGACTGCAGTGAGCCGAATTGCACCACCACACTGCAAGTCTGGGTGACAGTGAGAACCTATCTCAAAAAATAATAATAACAATGAAGTATTTTCAGTCTGTTTTGGGATTTTGATTCTCATCATTTGATTCATTTTTCTGTTTAACTAGATACATAATTATAAAAGAATTATTTTTAATGTTTTAAATTAGTCATTAGCATTATATGCATACCCTTCTGTTAATTGTAGTGAAATAATGAAAATACAGAAAAGCATTAAAAGAAATTGAAGTTCATATGAATTCCACTGCTCAGAGATAATTATTATCATCAGTTTGATGCAGTCTTTTATTTCTTCTTAAAAGCTTTTTTTTTTTTTGAGACAGAGTGTTCTGCCACCCAGGCTGGAGTGCAGTGGCACGATCTCAGCTCACTGCAACCTCCATCCCCCGAGTTCAAGTGATTATCCTGCCTCAGCCTCCTGAGTAGCTGGGATTACAGGCATGTGCCACCATGCCTGGCTAATTTTTGTATTTTTAGTAGAGATAGGGTTTCACCATGTTGCCCAAGCTGGTCTCAAACTCCTGACCTCAGGTGATCCGCCCACCTCAGCCTCCCAAAGTGATGGGATTACAAGCATGAGCCACCATGCCCAGCCTTCTTAAAAGCTTTTTTTGGCTGGGTGTCGTGGCTCCTGCTTGTAGTCCCAGCAATTTGGGAGGCTAGGGACTATTCAGGAGGCTGAGATGGCAGAATCACCTGAGCGCAGGAGGTTGAGGCTGCAATGAGTCATGATCTCACCACTGTACTCCAGCCTGGGTGACAGAGCAAGACCCTGTCTCAAAAGGAAGAAAAAAAAAAGTTTGTTTTGTTTTAATTAAAAATAGAAACATACCATATATAGCATATGTCGTTTTTCCTTTTGTAAAAATTATTTATTTTTCAGGAAATGTAGCACAGATAAATAACAAATATACAGAGAAAGTTAAAAGAATAAGAATAAAATACATATGTACCACCTACCTCAGAACATAGATTCTTATCAGTATACCTTATGTGTCTTTCTGTGATCATGTCTCTTTTCTTCTGGGGAAGAGAGAAATAACCACTGTCCTAAATTTGTGTTGATAATTTGCTGCTTTTATTTATAGCTTTACCTAGTATATACGTATTCCTAAAGTATACTAAATTGTTTTTCTTATTTCCAAATTTCAAACCAGCAAAAACTTACAGAAAAGGTGGTCACGCCTATAATCCCAGCACTTTGGGAGGCTGAGATGGGCGGATCACGGGGTTAGGAGATCGAGACCATCCTGGCTAGCACGGTGAAACCCTGTCTCTACTGAAAGTACAAAAAATTAGCCAGGCGTGGTAGCGGGCGCCTGTAGTCCCAGCTACTCGGGAGGCTGAGACAGGAGAATGGCATGAACCTGGGAGGCGGAGCTTGCAGTGAGCCAAGATCACGCCACTACACTCCAGCCTGGGTGACAGAGCGAGCCATCTCAAAAAAAAATAATAATAAATAAAAAATCACAGAAAAGGTTCAAGAACAATATAAAGAACTTTTCTTGACTGGGCTCAGTGACTCTTGCCTGTAATCCCAGCATTTTAGGAGGCCGAGGCAGGCAGATCACAAGGTCAGGAGTTTGAGACCAGCCTGACCAAAATGGTGAAACCCCTTCTCTACTAAAAATACAAAAATTAGCCAGCTGTGGTGGCACATGTCTGTAATCCCAGCTACTCAGAAGGCTAAGGCAGGAGAATCACTTGAACCTGGGAGGCAGAGGTTAGGCTCCATCTCAAAAAAATAAAGCAACTTTTCTCCCTAAGCATTCAAGAATTAGTGCCAGTCTGATGACCCATCACTTGAAATACTTAGGTATAGATTATCTATAAACAAGGACCTTCTCCCACATAACCACAATACAGCCATTTAAATCAGGAAACTTAAGCTTAATATGCTTGTGTCGACTAATAGACCCTAATTCAAGATTTTCCATTTTATCTAATAACTTCCTTTATAGCAAAAGGCCATTCAGAATTACACATTGCACTTAGTTGTGATATGTCAGTTTGAAATAGTTCCTTGTCTTCCTTTGATTTTTATAACCTTGACTTTCTTTTTTTTTTTTTTGAGACGGAGTCTCGCTCTGTCGCCCAGGCTGGAGTGTAGTGGCCAGATCTCAGCTCACTGCAAGCTCCGCCTCCCGGGTTCACGCCATTCTCCTGCCTCAGTCTCACAAGTAGCTGGGACCACAGGTGCCCGCTACCACGCCCGGCTAGTTTTTTGTATTTTTTAGTAGAGACGGGGTTTCACCGTATTAGCCAGGATGGTCTCAATCTCCTGACCTCGTGATCCACCCGTCTCGGCCTCCCAAAGTGCTGGGGTTACAGGCTTGAGCCACCGCGCCCGGCCAACCTTGACTTTTTAAAGTATTACAAGCCAATTTATCTTGTTTGATGCTTCCTTATATTTAGGTCACTAATTTTGGCAGGGGTGTGACAGAACTAATGCTTTGTACGTCTCATTGTATTCCAACAGGTGGCATCATTTACATTTGTTCCATTATGATGATGTTAAATTTGACACTTGATTAAAGTGGTCTCTACCAGAGTTCTTTACTGTAAAGTTATTCATTTTCCCTTTGTAATTAATCTGTATTTTGTGGGGAAGGACTTTGAAATAGGATACTTATGTTCCTCACAAGACCTCAGATCGATTGATTGATTGATTGATTTATATCTATATCTACTCATAGTTTCCTATTTTATTCAACAGTTTATGAACTCTTACCATCATTATTTATTTTGATATGCACATTGTCTCAGGTAGTTTGTGAGACCTCCTTTAAACTGGTTCCTGTGTTATTTTGAAATGCTCCCATAATTCTTGAACATTTCCTTGTTTTCAGCACAAAATTTTTTTTCAAGTTCATTCTATGCTTTTCCAGGAATCCCTTGTTCTTTTTAGTGGACAGTGATATTGACAATCTAGGATCTGGGTAGTACTAGATACACTTATTGGGATACCACTGCTTCCAGGCCCTCTGTGTGGAAAGAATTGTTTGTGTGTGTGTGTGTGTGTGAGTGCGTGCACACACACACATACACACACATGCAAAAAAGAAAACTATTTCAAAAATTGAAGAGGGGATACTTCCAAACTCATTCTGTGAGGCCAGCATTACCCTGATAGCAAAATCAACAAAGACACACACAAAAAAACCTATACATACACATACGTGTGTGTGTGTATATATATGTATATATATGCACTTATGTTTGTATCTGTATTTATTCCTGGTTTTTTTTTTGAGACAGGGTCTCACTCTGTCACGCAGGTTGGAGTGCAGTGATATAATTAGAGATCACTGCAGCCTCCACCTCCCCAGACTCAAGTGATCCTCCTTAGTTTTTGTACTTTTAGTAGTGATGGGGTTTCACCCTCTTGCCCAGGCTAGTCTCGAACTCCTGGACTCAAGCGATCCACCTGCCTCGGCCTCCCAAAGTGCTAGGATTACAGGCATGAGCCACCACACCCGGCCTTATTTCTGTATTTTTATATATCAAAAACCATGAGTCCACGTAAATACCTCCAATTTTAGTCTGGTAGGGCCAGGCATGGTGGCTTATACCTGTAATCCCAGCACTTTGGGAGGCCTAGGCAGACAGACCACTTGCGCCTAGGAGTTCAAAACCAGTCTTGGCGACATAGTGAAACTCTATCTCTACAAAAAACACAAAAAGTAGCCAGATGTGGTGGCACTCACCTGTGGTCTTAGGTACTCAGGAGACTGAAGTAGGAGGATCACCTGCGCCCTGGGGAGGTCAAGCACTTTGGGAGCTGTGATTGCACTACTGTACTCCAGCCTAGGCAACAGAACCAGACTTTGTCTCAAAAAAAAAAAAACTATAAGGTTTGTTCTAATTTTCTCCTTTCCATATTTGTAACTAACTTCTACAGTGCAAGGCCTGGCTCCAGTTATAGTTAACATTTATGTATTTAATCAGTTTTCCTATATGTGACCAATGTCCTTTTTCCACTGCTGCCTCCTACCCCACATGTAAGCCCTTGTCACCCTGCTTGGGCTTTGACTCTCCTTGTTGAATTCCAATATGGATTCCTTCCTCTTCCTACTAGACTCTCTGACACATCATCACCCCAGGGCCCCCCTTCATTGGAATGCCTTCTCACACTGCATGACTTCAGGACTCCATGCCAATGACCTCCTCCCCTTGGTAGACTGACACTCTGGGCTGCCTCTCCTCAGATGCTCTCCTCACCACTGTCTGGATCTGACACACTGCAGTCAACTGCTCTTCCATATGAATGCTTTTTTACTCTGCTTGGGACAACCTGCTCTGTTTTGATTTTTACTGGGCAATGGCTGACTGATACAGCCATGTAAACTTGTACTGTTACCAATAAAGATAGACTGAATAATTATTTTCATGTAATGGAAGACAGTAATCAAAAAATATTTGCAGCTGGGCGCGGTGGTTCAGGCCTGAAATCCCAGCACTTTGGGAGGCCGAGGTGGGCAGATCACTTGAGGTCAGGAGTTCAAGACCAGCCTGGCCAACATGGTGAAACCCCGTCTCTACAAAAAATACAAAAATTAGCTGAGTGTGGTGGCCCGCTCCTGTAATCCCAGCTACTTGGGAGGCTGAAGCAGGAAAATGGCTTGAACCCAGGAGGTGGAGGTTGCAGTGAGCTGAGATTACACCACTGCACTCCAGTCTGGATGATAGAGCAAGACTCCATCTCAGAAGGAAAAAAAGTATTTGCTATGGCTGTACGCATCAACATGAATGAGTCCCAAAAACATAATGTGGAGATAAAAAAGCTATAGAACACATACACTATGATTCCATTCATGTCAGGTTTAAAAAAGCAAAACTGTCCTTAAAAGCTACTAAGCCATGACCCTTCTTCTCCGACCCGCCAGCTTGGATATTTTCCTCACCCTACTTGGACTCTGACACCCTGCACTAGACAGCTCTTATATGGGCCACCACAACCCCCAGCATTTCTGAAACAGATGTCTTCCGTGTTCTGTCCTACTGATGGCTTGGTGGCTTTCGGACTAAATCATTTAAAAAATTGTGTTTTTCTTCCGTTTTTTCTGCTTATTTTATTAGTTACCAAGAAAATTGTGCTAAAATCTCCAACTTTGATTATGTATGGATTTGTCTATTTCTTATTTACTTCTGTTAACGTTTGCTTTATATATTTTAAAGTTATATAATTAGGTCCAGCAGAGATGAAATTGTGTTTTTCTGATTAATTGACCTTGTTGGGGAGAAAAGATTTTCTTCAACCATTGCCTAGATTCATGGCTGAGACCCCTTTAACAAAAGACAGATTAACGAAAGAAATGCATGCAATTTTATATTTTATTTTATACACACACGCACACACACATACATACATACATATATGTATGTGTGTATTTATATATATATATGGTTTGTTTTTTTTTTTGAGACAGAGTCTCGCTCTGTCGCCCAGGCTGGAGTGCAGTGGTGCCATCTTGGCTCACTACAAGCTCCGCCTCCCAGGTTCACACCATTCTCCCTGCCCCAGGCTCCCAAGTAGCTGGGATCACAGGCACCTACCACCACACCTGGCTAATTTTTTTATATTTTTAGTAGAGAAAGGGTTTGGCCATGTTTGCCAGTCTGATCTGGAACTGCTGACCTCAGGTGATCCGCCCACCTTGACCTCCCAAAGTGCTGGGATTACAGGCATGAGCCACAGCGCCCGGCCTCCTTTGTTTTTGTTTTATTTTGTTTTATTTGTTTGTTTTCTTTGAGACAGTCTCTCTCTGTTGCCTAGGCTGGAGTGCAGTGGCATGATCTCGGCTCTGGGTTCAAGGGATTCTCGTGCCTCAGCCTCCCAAGTAGTTGGGATTATAGGCACCTGCCATCACGCCCGGCTAATTTTTGGTGTTTTTGTTTTGTTTTGTTTTATGAGATGGAGTCTCGCTCTGTCCCCAGGCTGGAGTGCAGTGGAGAGATCTCAGCTCACTGCAGTCTCTGCCTCCCAGGTTCAAGCGATTCTCCTGCCTCAGCCTCCTGAGTAGCTGGGACTACAGGTGTGTGCCAACACGCCCAGCTAGATGAAAGGTGACATGATCTCAGCTCACTGCACCTTCGTCTCCCAGGCTCAATGTTCATCTCCCACCTCAGCCTCCCGAGCAGCTGGACCTGTCTTTTAAGTCCACACTCCAATCCTTCCACCTCCAGAAATCTTTCCCTAGTTCTTTTAACCTTTGTTTTCTTGCTTTTTATGTTTATGTTCTTTGACATAAGCTTTAACCTTTGGTTATCCAATTTTTGGTACCCAAATGAATACACAGGACTGGGTCTTAGACTTTTTTGGTAGCCCTTTCAGGTTTAGTAAAGTGGCACGTAGTGAATTTTAGTGAATTGATTGAATGAGAGAATTATTTCTTTTTTTTTTTTTTTTTTTTTGAGGCGGAGTCTCGCTCTGCCGCCCAGGTTGGAGTGCCGTGGCCGGATCTCAGCTCACTGCAAGCTCCGCCTCCTGGGTTCACGCCATTCTCCGGCCTCAGCCTCCCGGAGGCTGGGACTACAGGCGCCCGCCACCTCGCCCGGCTAGTTTTTTTGTATTTTTAGTAGAGACGGGGTTTCACCGTGTTAGCCAGGATGGTCTCGATCTCCTGACCTCGTGATCCGCCCGTCTCGGCCTCCCAAAGTGCTGGGATTACAGGCTTGAGCCACCGCGCCCGGCCATGAGAGAATTATTTCTTACGTAATATGCATATTTCATTAATTGTAAGTTGCACATTTTTTCACATTTTAGCATCTGTGAAATGAGGATGCGTTCTATAATCCATGGCTACATGACCATCATGTTACAATTGTGACAGCCTCTCTAAAACATAGCCATAATTCCTTTGTCTTACCTAAGATAATTAACAGTAGTAATTCCTTATTGTCATCAAATTTCTGGGAGTCAAACTTTAAAAGATAGTCCAAATAATCAGTTATATCACAATTCAGTTATTCTCTGTATTAACATATCCAGAGTCTGGGTGTTGTGGCTCATGCCTATAATCTCAGCACTTTGGGAGGCTGAGGCAGGAGGATCAGTTGAGCCCAGGAGTTATGATGGCACCACTGCATTCCATCCTGAATGACAAAGCAAGACACTATCTCTAAAAATAACAATAATAACATATCCAGATACTTCTACCAGTTGTTATTACTATAAATTAGCTAATTCAAATTTTCATAAAATTATATTAATAGTTTTTGTGTTTTACAGAGTAAGCCATATCAAAGACTTCATTGAAAAATACCAAGGATCTCAAAGAAGTCCTCCATTTTCCCTGGCAACAGCTCTTCCTGTCCTCAGGTTGCTAGATGAGACACTCACACTGGAAGAAGCAGATTTACAGAATGCTGTCATCATTCAGAGACTCCAAAAAACTGCTGCACCTTTTAGAGAACTTTCAGAGCACTGATTTTTGATAGACTAAGTGGAAACTTTGCAAAGAAATTATGGTTGTAAGTGGACATGCAAACCAAAATTGGGGACTGGAGAAGTCAGACTCACTAGACTTTTGGTTTGAGTACTGTTGAACTCTCTCCTAATGAGAAGATGTTTAGATAAGTACAAGTTAGGAAAGTAGCATATGACTGGAAACTATATTCAGTGCACTTTCTCCAAAAGGCTACTCAGAAAAATAGACTTATTTTCAAATACCAGTTATCAATATATATTAAATAGCTGTATTATTTAGAATCTTAATATGGTATAAATTAGCGAATGTGTTCACAATATTCATTCAAACATCATTCCTGGACAGCAGGGATTTATTTAAATGTTAGCTGCCTCAGAGTTTTTAAAGAGCTAAATACGACCGGGTGCGGTGGCTCACACCTGTAATCCCAGCACTTTGGGAGGCCAAGACAGGCAGATCACAAGGTCAAGAGATTGAGACCATCCTGGCCAACATGGTGAAACCCCATCTCTACTAAAAATACAAAAATTACCTGGGCATAGTGGTGCACATCTGTAGTGCCAGCTACTCGGGAGGCTGAGGCAGGAGAATCGCTTGAACTCAGGAGGTGTAGGTTGCAGTGAGTTGAGATTGAGCAACTGCACTCCAGCCTGGCAACAGAGCAAGACCCCCTCTCAAAAATAAATAAAATAAAATAAAATAAAATTGTGGCCGGGCGCAATGGCTCATGCATGTAATCCCAACACTTTGGGAGACTGAGTTGGGAGGATCACTTGAAGCCAGGAGTTTAAAATCAGAATGGTCACCAGAGACCCCTGTCTATATATTTTTTTAATTTAAAAAATAAAAATAAAATTGTGTAGCTTAGTATAGTGTCAAGGTTAATCTGCCTACTCACATTTCTACACTTTCTAAAAATGTAGAAAACCTATTCCCTTTCCATTTTATTTTCTTTCAAAAATTACAGATTTGTTTTTGGCTAACATTTGGGATTAGCCATTCATTTGCCACCACTCAGAATCTAATGCCTATATGTGTCACATTACTAATATTTTTTAAATGCATCACATAAAATATGGTTTTCTGTTTCTTTTTTTGTTTGTTTGTTTGAGACGGAGTTTTGCTCTTATTGCCCAGGCTGGAGTGCAGTGGTGCAATCTCGGCTCACCACAACCTCCGCCTCCTGGGTTCAAGCGATTGTCCTCCCTCAGCCTCCCAAGTAGCTGGGATTACAGGTATACGCCACCACGCTTGGCTAATTTTGTATTTTTAGTAGACACAGGGTTTCACCATGTTGGTCAGGCTGGTCTCGAACTCCTGACCTCAGGTGATCTTCCCGCCTAGGCCTCCCAAAGTGCTGGGATTACAGGTGTGAGCCACTGTGCCCAGCTGGTTTTCTGTTTCATACATCACAGTCAACTTGTGAATACATTTAAAGATTATTTCATTTTGATATCACGAAGAAAAACATGCTTTATATCTTAGACATTTAACTAAATCCAGTTAGACCTCAGTTTTTCACTGTCAGATTAAATCCCCATACCTGAAAATAAGTTTAACATTTTTTTTTGCAAATGATCTGTTGAATCAGATTCAAAATGAAGTATGCATTGAGTGTGCCAAGGAACTAAGTGGTCCATAGCAGCAGTAATGTTCATAGGGTGCGAGATGCATGCCATGAAGCAGCAATTCTCAAACATTTTTATCTCAAGACCATTTGTTTATGTGAGCTGTATATATTACCATATTAAATATTAAATGCTTAAAATAGTTATTTATGGGCTGGGCACAGTGGCTCACGCCTGTAATCCCAGCACTTTGGGAGGTTGAGGCGAGTGGATCACAAGATCAAGTGATCGAAACCATCCTGTCCAATGTGATGAAACCGCATCTCTACTAAAAATACAAAAAAAAAATAGCTGGGTGTGGTGGCGTGTGCCTGTAATCCCAACTACATGGGAGACTGAGGCAGGAGAATCACTTGAACCCAGGAGGCAGAGGTTTCAGTGAGCCGAGATTGCACCACTGCACTCCAGCCTGGCAACAGAGCGAGACTCTGTCTCAAAAAAAAAAAAAATTCATTTAAAAATAATAACTTCTGGCTGGACGTGGTGGCTCACACCTGTAATCCCAGCACTTTGGGAGGCCAAGACAGGTGGATCACTTGAGCCCAGGAGTTTGAGACCAGCCTGGGCAATAAGGCAAAACCCCATCTATAAAAATTACAAAAATTAGTCCGATGTGGTGGCTCACACCTGTAATCCCAGCACTTTGGGAGACTAAAGCAGGCAGATCACCAGAGGTCAGGAGTTCGAGACCAGCCTGGTCAATGTGGTAAAACCATGTCTGTACTAAAAATACAAAAATTAGCTGGGCGTGGTGGCATGTGCCTGTAATCTCAGCTACTAGGGAGGCTGAGGGAGGAGAATTGCTTGAACTCAGGAGGCAGGGGTTGCAGTGAGCCGAGATTGTGCCACTGCACTCTAGCTTAGGCAATAGAGTAAAACTCTGCCATAATAATTTTTTTTTTTTTTTTTTTGAGATAGAGTTTTGCCCTTTCACCCAGGCTGGAGTGCCATGGCGCAATCTCGGCTCACTGCAACTTGCGCCCCCCAGGTTCAAGCGATTCTTCTGCCTCCCGAGTAGCTGGGATTATAGGCACCCACTACCACGCCTGGCTAATTTTTGTATTTTTAGTAGAGATGGGGTTTCGCCATTTGGCCTGGCTGGCCTCTTAACTCCTAACCTCAGGTGATCCACCCGCCTCGGCCTCCCAAAGTGCTAGGATTATAGGCATGAGCCATTGTGCCCAGCCAATAATAACTTATAAAACATGAAACAATTTAGTGGGAAAAGCGGCCGGCTTTTTTTGGGGAATTACTTTCTGTCATAAAGAAGATAGATGGGTTCTCATGTCTTCTACACTCAGTCTGTTATGCAGTCACATATCATGTAGACTCTGGAAAAAACCACTGTACACTTGTGAAAGAGTGAAAAGGAGCAAATAACGCCTTAGTATGATTATGAAAAACGCTTTGACTTCACAGTGCCCTGAATGGGTCTCGGGAACCTCCAGGGATCCCTCAGGCACACTTTGAGAACCAATCTATATAAAGTGATGGTTCACAATGATTCTCAAGCCTTAGTTTCAGAATCATTTGGGGCAGCTTTTCAAAAATGCTATTCCTGCCACCTACCACAAGGATTCTGATTCATTGTGTCTGTGATGGGTCTCAGATCTCTGCATTTTTAATCTTACGTGATTCTTAAGTATGAGGTAGAAGTACCTTTCTTCAGGAAATTCTGTTCTAAGCTTTTACCCTGAGAAAATAAAACCTGCATGCTTTCACCAGGGACAGTGGAAGACTCCACTGAAACAGATCTGCTAGACCACTAAGTTTATCCTTGTCACCCAGTTTGCTCTTGGAAAGAGTCTGTTACCTTTTGTCGCTGAACCAATCATGACATAAACTTATGCTTTACCTCCTGTAGCACAGCCACGACAAGGCTGGAACATTTAATTAAGGTTTTTACTAAGGACTCAGGAATAGCAACAGGGAAATATCTATGTAACTAAATGACCTGACATAAAATCTATCTTCTGATTGCAGTCTATTGTGAGAATGCTGCTTTTCCTAGCTCCCAGCCTGCCTTAGGGCAGAAGGCTGTCTTTTTATTAGGAAAAGAGGGAGGACAAAGGAGAGCCTTTTCCTTTTGTCCGTTACTCTTAGAAATGAATAGGTACATAATGGAAAATATTTATTGTTGGTAATGTTTACACAGCAATGTTAGAGCCTCTCTGTAGTGAAACAAAAATAATATTCTTACCAAAAATTAAAAATTAAAAAATGAGGCAATGGTAAAAATCAATGAACTTATCTTTCTGATATAGAAAATAACACAATGATTGTTAATACATGTTCAAGAATCTAAGAAAATGTTTCATATAGGCCTATCATGTAGCATTTTTATTTGCATAATTATGGTCAACATATGATTCTCCATATAGGGGTCTCTCATTGAGAATGTTTCTTGTGTACCAATAGAAAAGCCTCTTTGGTAGATTTTCCGGTTTATAATTATTTAACCAGAAGATACACAGGAGGTTCTATTGTATGTACCTGTAGAATACATCCCAGTAAGGGTCCTATGGAGAAAGACCTGTCGTCAGCAATAACCTTCATTATTCTAACTGTGAAACGTTCATTAATGTGAATAATATTCTCAAAGGTTCTCTACAATGAGAATCATCCAGTAAAGCTTTTTACCTGACAATTTAAAAGTTGTAAAGTTGTTAGTTAAATATGTAGAATTATCAAAAGAGATTGACTTTGGAAAACAAACTGAATTTGCTAAGGGAAGGAAAACTTGAAAATAATCATCTTAGATGTGGAATACAATTTGACCTAAGCAATTGTTTCAAAACTGTCTTCAGTTTCTTGAAAAAAATTGTTAGGGATGATATATAGAAATACATATCTAGGCCAGGCACGGTGGCTCATGCCTGCAATCCCAGCCCTTTGGGAGGCCGAAGTGGATGGATCACGAGGTCAAGAGATCGAGACCATCCTGGTCAATATGGTGAAACCCTGTCTCTACTAAAAATACAAAAATCAGCTGGGCGTAGTGGTGCGTGCCTGTAGTCCCAGCTACTCAGGAGGCTGAGGCAGGAGAATCACTTGAGCGCCGGAGGCAGAGGGTGCAGTGAGCCGAGATCACGCCACTGCACTCCAGCCTGGGCAACAGAGCGAGACTCGTCGCAAAAAAAAAGAAAAAAGAAATACATATCTAATGTTACAGATTCTGGTTTATTGGTTAATTACTATGCATTTTTTTCCGTTTAAAAAATAATCTTATTTTATATACTTCTCTCAGTATAATTTTTCATGACATTTCAGCATGTTGATAATATGTGTGCATCTATTTCAGTGCCTTAAAGTATTTTGAGAGCAATCTTTTGCTGACAGTTAAAGAACTGTTAAGAATGAAATCCTGTTCATTAAAAGGATCTGTGAAATCATTTACCCTTGTTATAAAATAGTTATATGCAAATACACTTGTCATTTTATTTGGCAGAGTCATTCAGTTTGATAATCAAACATTTATTAGGTGCCTTTGCTTTAACCAACATTACTTTCATGTAATACTCAGAAATGTAAAGATGTGATATTTTTGAATACTAACTCAATGGCGTGTTTAATTTTTCAACTATTCTTTGTGTCATGAGCTGAACTAGCATGAAGACTCTTTAGTAGGGTTTACTCCTTTGTTCCTTCTTTTCCTAAGTACAAACCATTTTATGAAAAAATTGCTCATCGCACTAAATCTTCAAATGGAAATGGCTTATTCAGTAGACCAATATTTGGCTCTTTGTCATTTGTTTTAATGTATTTTTTGCACAGATAATTTATATTCATTATAGAAAATTATAATATGCAGATATGCTAAAATGATCCTTAAATCACCTATTATTCTGCCTTTCACATATAACCACTGCCAGTTCTAGTGGTGCGTGCCTGTTGTCCCAGCTACTCGGGAGACTGAGGCAGAAGGATCGCTTGAGCCCAGAAGTTCTGGGGTGTACTGTGCTCTGCCAGTCGGTCAGGTGTCTGCACTAAGTTTGGCATCAATTTGGTGATCTCACTGGAACTGGGGACCACCAGGTTGCCCACTGGAAAAGGAGCAAGAACGAATGCTGATCAGTAGTGGTATTACACCTGTGAATAGTCACTGCATTCCAGCTTGAACAACACAGGGGGAACTTGTCTCTTTTAAAAAGTGAAAAAAAAAAAGCCGGGCGCAGTGGCTCTTGCCTGTAATCCCAGCACTTTGTGAGGCCGAGGTGGGCTGATCAGGAGTTCAAGACCAGCCTGGCTAACATGGTGAAACCCCGTCTCTACTAAAAATACAAGAATTAGCCAGGCATGGTGGCAGGCGCCTGTAATCCCAGCTACTCAGGAGATTGAGGCTGAAGAATCACTTGAACCTGGGAAGCAGAGGTTGCAGTGAGCCAAGATCATGCCATTGCACTCCAGCCTAAGCGACAGAGCAAGACTCTGTCCCGAAAAAGAGAAAAAGAAAAAAGTAAAAAATAAAATTTAGAAATTAAAAACTACTAGTAACATTTTGATGTGCATCCTTTCAGATATTTTTTAGTGTATCAGCTTTTAGTCTTGTTTTAATTAAAAGGCAGCTGCCTTTTTTATTTTAATCCTACTTTATTGAAATCTAATTTATTTGTCTTTTACATTAAAAATTACATTATGAACTTACCGTCACTTTAAATAGAATAATAACTGTTAGGGAAATGCCTTTTATTATAATTACATTTTTTGCTGTCCAAAAAAGTTACTAATTTTTTTTTTTTTTGAGACGGAGTTTCACTCTTTTTGCCCAGGCTGGAGTGCAATGGCGTGATCTCAGCTCACTGCAACCTCCACCTCCCAGGTTCAAGTGATTCTCCTCCCTCAGCCTCCCGAGTAGCTGGGATTACAGGAGCCCACCACCACGCCTGGCTAATTTTGTATTTTTTTAGTAGAGACGGGATTTCACCACGTTGGTCAGGCTGGTCTTGAACTCCTGACCTCAGGTGATCCACTCACCTCAGCCTCCCAAAGTGCTGGGATTACAAGTGTGAGCCACTACGCCTGGTCATTTTCTAATTTTTAAAATTGTTTTCACCTGCTGCCTTTCAAACTTAAAATTGCAGTAGTATAAACAACAAAGTACAAGTGTTGAGAATGCAGTATTTCCAAACCTATTAAAAATGCGTATCAATAGGATGTACTTGAAAGTAGGTTACCTAGCTGAGCTCAGTGGCTCACACCTGTAATTCCCAACACTTAAGGAGGCAGAGGCAGGAATATAGCTTGAGCTCACGAGTTCGAGACCAGTCTGGGCAACATAGCAAGATCCTATTCTTCACAAAAAGAAAAAAAAAAAACAAATTATAGAAGTAGATTATCTAAAGAAACTTTGGCTTTAGTTTATGTTTAACTTCCAAGGAATTAAATATTTAGCGCATGCATTATCTAACCTTTCTTTGTATTTGCAATCAGGGAAACAAAATGTACCCATTTTGTAGATTAAGGAATTAAGACATAAAATGGAATGACTTGCTCTAAACTGGGTAGTGTATCCTTTAGGATTAGATTTAGCTATGACAGAAAATCCAGAAAAATAGTTGCTTACAAGGTCAAATTCTATTTCCCATGCAAAAGTTCAGAGGGAAGCAGTTCAGGGCTGGTAGATCAACCTCATAAAATCATCAGATTGCTGTACTGTTGATCTGCCAGTCTCATCACTCTGTAAACTTGGGGTCTCAAGGTAGCTGCACTGGCACCAGCCAACACATTTGTATTTCAGCCAGTAGGAAGCAGATTCCTTCCCTTTTAAATTTAAACAGCTTTATTGACGTGATTTACATGCTGTGCAATTCACCCATTTAAAGTATACAATTCAGGCAAGGCGAATGGCTCACTGTAATCCCAGCACTTTGGGAGGCAGAGGTGGATCACCTGAGGATCAGGAGTTCAAGACCAGCCTGGCCAACATGGTGAAAGCCCATCTCCTACAAATATATAAATTAGCCGGGTGTGGTGGCACATGCCTGTATTCCCAGCTACTCGGGAGGATGAAGCAGGAGAATCACTTGAACCCGGGAGGTGAGGTTGCAGTGAGCCGAGATCGTGCCAATGCACTCCAGCCAGGGCAACAAAACAAGACTGTCTCAAAAAAATAAATAAATAAAAATAAAGTATACAATTCAATGGGTTTTAGTGTATTTATAGGGTTGTACAACCATCACAATTTAATTTTAGAAAATATTCGTCCATTCTAAAACCCCATACACATTAGCAGTCACTCCCTAGCCCAGTCCCAGGCAAATACAAATGTACATTCTGTCTCTCTATATTTGCCTATTCTAGACATTTGACATAAATGGAATCATGCAACTTGTAATCTTTTGTGACTGGCTGCTTTTATTTAGCATACTGTCATCAAGGTTCATCTGTGTTGTAGCATGCATTGGTCCTTCATTCCTTTTTCTTGCCCAACAGTAGTCCATTGTATGGCTATACCACATTATATTTATTCATTCATAATCTGATGGACATTGGCTTGTGTCCTCTTTGGCATATATATATACACATATATATGTGTGTGTGTGTATATATATGAATGCTGCTAATGAACATTCGTGTTCAAGATTTTATGTGAACATGTTTTCATTTCTGAAGGGTGTATACACCTAAGACTGAAATTGCGGGTCATGTGGTAATTCCACGTTTTACTTTGAGAGATTGCCAAACTTTTCCAAAGGACCATCCCTAGTTTCTATTCCCACTAGCAGCGTATAGCGGTTCTGATTTCTCCACATCCTCCCCAATACTTGTCTCATTTTAATTACGGCCACCCTGTGGATTTGAAATGGTATCTCACTGTAGTTTCGATTTGTATTTCCATGTGCTTACTGTTCATTTGTATATCTTTAGAGAAATATCCAGATTCTTTGCCCATTTGAGAATTGGATTGTCTTTTAATTGTTAAGTTGTGAAAGTTGATTCCCGTACAAATCCCTTTCCTCCCATTCTGTGGGTTGTCTTTATACCCACTTGTTGGAATTGTTTACAGCACAAAGGTTTTCGTTTTGAAAACTTTCGTAGTTCATCCAGCTTGTGCTTTTGGCGTCCTAAGAAACAACTGCCTGGCCCAGTATGATGAAGAGTCGCTCCTGGGTTTTTTGTGTTTGGTTGGTTTTTGTTTTTGTTTTTGAGACGGAGTCTCCCTCTGTCGCCCAGGCTGGAGGTGCAGTGGCACGATCTCAGCTCACTGCAATTTTCGTCTCCCAGGTTCAAGCAATTCTCTTGCCTCAGCCTCCCAAGTAGCTGGGATTACAGGCGTGAGCCACCGTACCTGGCCCTTTCTCTTGTTTTTTCATAGGAGTTTTATATTATAGGTCTATGATGCATTTTCAGTTAATGTGTGCCCTTGTTACTGGTGGACGGTATCTGAGTCACGGGGCACCAAAATATGTAAGTGGGAAGGAATCTTTATGGGTCTGCAGCAACCTCAGTTCCTGCCGCCTCAGAAGAAAGAATTCCACTGAGGGGCGTAAGGCAGAAGGAGAGACTGAGGCAAGTTTTAGAGCAGGAGTAAAAGTTTATTAAAAAGCTCCGCAGCAGAAATGAAAGGAAGGAAAGTACACTTGGAAGAGGACCAAGCGGGTGACCTGAAAGACAAGTACACAGTTTCACCTTTTGACCTGAGGTCTTATACATTGGCATACTTCTGGGGTCTTGCATCCCTTCTCCCCTGATTCTTCCCTTGGGGGGCCTGTCCGCATGGACAGTGGCCTGCTAGCACTTGGGAGGGGAGTGTGCACACTGCGTTTCCCGGAGTTGTACCCATGCTCACTGGAGGCCTTCTTCCCTTACCAGTCCAGTGTCCTTGGAGGATCACATGTCGGTTCAACTCCGCAATTTGTGTAAGCCCACTTGCGCAGCTCCTGAGATCTTACCGAGAAGCTGATCACCAGTTTCAGGTTTTCTCTCTCTTTTGGGAGACGGCCTTTCCCTGGCCCCGCTGGATCAATTATCATTTTAGAGGGAGCATAACAACCGCCTGACTGTCGCCTGATGGTTGCCTGAGGCTCCTGGCTGGAAGCGTGGCCCTCTCCTGCCCTGTTCCAGTCTGACTAGCTACCTGCTGTCACCCCCCTTCCCTTTTAAGGACTTTTCTGGAATATTGCCTGTGCCACCTGCTTTTATTCGCTGGCCAGAACTTAGTTACTGGCCATCCCCGTGGTCTGTATAGGAGACTGGACAATGTGTATTTCAGGCGTTGGGCGTCATGTGTAGCCGCCGGAATGCCTGTTCAGCCATGGTCCAGCCTGAACGAGCGGGCCTCTTGCTTCATTTTGCGGGGGAGCTGCTGCTTGCCCGCGGTCACCCCAGCGGTCTGACGGAGCCCTCAGCGCTCAGGGCCGCTCACGCCCCTCGGGGATCCGCCCCAAGGAGAGCGGTCCTGAGGACCTGCCGGGCCTTTACCCCCGCGGATTCTGGCTCTTCGCTGTTTCCCTTTGGAGAAGCAAAAGAAACGGTGCCCCTCGCGGTTTCTGCGTTTCCCCCGCGTTGCCAGCGTCCACTCGCGCCGCGCCCCTCGCCTGGAGCCGCCCCTCCCAAGGGCGATAACCCCGAGGGCAACGGCCGCGGGCGGCGCTGCGGTGGCAATGGCGGCGCCCCCTGCACCAGCCACCGAGGGGTCCCCGCAACCGGAGCCGCACGTCCGGGAGCCCGGCCCGGGGAGCGCCAGACGAGGGCGAGAGGTGAGCGGGGCGGCGCGGGCCGGGAAGGGGCTGCGTCCCTGGGGAGCTCGAGGGCGTCGCCTCGTAGCCCGTTTTCCAGCTGGGTGCAGCCCGGCGGGGCTCGGCCCAAACCTGCCGGCTCAGGGGCTGCCCTCGCGGGGTTACACGGCTGGGAGCGGGGAGGCCGGGAGGTGCCGGCGCCGGATAGAAACTAGGACGGGAAGCCTAGCCCTAGCCAAGGAAACAGCTTGGGGATGCGTGGTCCCTGCTGTCCTGATTCCCGGCTTAGGGGTCTTGTCTGTGCCACCGCAGGTCCTGCCGGAGTCCCGAGCTCTGGGCAGGCAGGGCTTTCTGAAGCGCCTGGGGAGGCTGCGTCCTTCCCGACCTCAGGCAGCTGCTGTGGCCTCGGCCTCCCCCCCAGAACCTGGTCTCGCCGGGCACCAGGCTCCCCTTGGAGGCTGCCTCAGGGAAGGTCCTGGCCATGGGCTCCGACAAGAAGGGAGGAGGGCAGGTGGGAGCGGCGGGGTCTTCGGGGCCCCTTGTCCTTTGCCTGATGCGCTGGGCCGTGCTGGCCAGCGGGGCTGTGCTGGACGGGGCAAGGGGCCTGGGGCTCCCTGGGTCCAACTGAGTGCGCCTGCTCCCTGCTGGTGCCCAGGGCGTTCTGTGGCCTCCCCTGACACCTCAGCCCCCAGCCTGGTTCAGGGCGTCCTACCAGGCACCTCGGAGCACAGGATTGCGTCCCACAAGAAAGTGAGGTGAGATGAAGGGGCTCTCCGGGGACTCTCACTTCCCAGGGAAACTTAGAAATTCAGGGTGAGATGAACAGCAAGAGGGAAACACTCGCATTGCCGGTGACGCGGCGTCGGCGTGGAATCCTCTCTGAGGGGTGGCAGCCCCGGTCGCTCCAGACACCGATGCGCAGAGGCCGAGGTGCCTGCCCTGGGTCACGCAGCTACAGACAGCAGCGCTGCGCCTCTCACCCGGAGCCGCCCCTCCCAAGGGGCTTCTCCTTGTACAGCTCACTGTCCAGCTGTGCAGGACTTTTATGGCTTTCAGTAAAACGGTCATCCTCGAGACGGCAAGACGGGACCATATTCCTGGCTTCACTTGGAAGTTATTTCTAAAGTTCGAAAAACTTGCTAGGCCCATTTTGGGGGATACAAGAGTCCCCATTGGGGGAGAGGGGGACTGTCACGTTGAATTCTGCCTGTTCTTAAAAGTTTTCTGGAAGCTGAAATGATGTTCACACAAATGTCAGGAAAGAATCCTCCTGCCCCCAGTGTGGTTTTCCCCTGTGGGTAGAAAGAGTGTGCAAAGTGTGATAATCCCTTATCTGGGGAGACCTTCCCTTCACAAGAGCCTGCTGGGGTGTCCTGCAAGATGTGGAAACGGGTGAAGCTGTGTCATCTCCACTCCCTCCGGCCCCCAGCAAAGGATGAGAAAAGATGCCCAGCTTCTTCCAAAGAAACAGCACTTTACACAGGGTCTTCATGGCCAATTTCTTGCTTCAACAGATATATACTGAGCACCTACTGTATACCAAGCTTTTTTCTAGGTACTGGAAACACCATGATAAATAAAAGAGTTCATGCTCTCAGAGAGCTTACACTCGTGTAGGGAGAGGCAGGAACTAAATGAGAACATAGCAGGCGCTAAGTACAACTGAGAGAGGTGAGTGGTTAGGGAATGCCTCTTGAGGGAGGTGACATTTAAGCTGGTGACGTCAAACCAGAATGACAAGGAGTCACCTTCCAGGCAGAGGAATGGGAAGTGCAAAGGCCCTGAGGCGGCAACAGACTTGATGATTTTGAGGAATAGGAAGGAGCCCGGTGTGGCTGAAGGAGAGCTATTTGAGGTGAGGTGGGTAGGGGGCCAACTGGGTGGACTGCTTAGCCATGATCGGGACTTGGAGTTTTGTTCAAACTGCAATGGCATTGACTGAATACCATGGATCTGGAAACAAACAAAACACACACACACACACACACACACACATATCACAAAAAAAACCTGCAATAGCAAAGCCATCAGAGGGCTTTAATCAGAGAGGAGATGGGATCTGATTATTTATTTGTGACTGAGTGTCTGTTGCCCAGGCTGGAGTGCAGTGGCGCCAATCTCAGCTCACTGCAATATCTGCCTCCCAGGTTCAAGCGATTCTCTTGCCTCAGCCTCCTGAGTAGCTGGGATTACAGCCAGCCACTATGCCTGGCTAAGTTTTGTGTTTTTAGTAGAGATGGTGTTTCGTCACGTTGGGCAGGCTGGTCTTGAACTCCTGGGCTCAAGCGATCCACCTACCTCCGCCTCCCAAAGTGCTGGGTTTATAGGGATGGGCCACCGTGCAATTTACGTTATTACAAGAGCACTGGCTGCTGGGTGGTGTGGATTGTAGGGAGCAAGGGCAGACACAGAGAAGCCACTTAGGAGGCACTCACTGACAGACAAGAATTGGAAAGAAGAATCAAAGATGATTCCTAAGTTTGTGGCCTGAGCCCCTTAGGGGACCAGCGGTGCCATTTGCTAGGAGCTGGATTAGACAATGGGATAGCCATCAGGAGCTGTATGTAGACCATGCTAAGCTGAGATGCCTGCCAGGCATCCCTGGAGGGCTGTGGGCAGGCAGGCTATGGGTAAATGAGCTACCGCCTCCTTTATTCATGAAATAACCTTGTGAAATTGGCAGGGATGTAGCATTTGACAGATGAGGAAAACAGGCTTGGAGAGATAATGTGATTTACTCAAGGTCACATAGAGGGGTAGGTGACAAAGGCAGGCTCAAGCCCAGGTCTCCTGACCTGCAGCTTACACAGCCGTGCTGACTCAGTAAATGATGGCGGCTTCAGCAGGAAGCCCAGGGTAAGATGTCCAGAAGAACGTGCCCCTGGAAATGTTTAGAGGTCATGGTTTAAGATCTTTTTTCTCTTCTGTCTCACTTCCTCTTAGGATGACATGGGGGCAAAATGGGGCTGAGAGGTTGCTGGAAAAGCCCTGAAGACATCACAGGGACTCAGGATGCTTACTGAAGTCATAGGGTGTGGGGACCTGTTTTGTGTCTGTTGGGAGAAGGGCTTAGTTCCTGTGTCTCCTCCAGGACAGCAGAGCCAGTCGCCTCTCATTCTGTACGAAGGTGTGCTATGGCATTGGTGGAGTCCCCAACCAGATAGCCTCTAGCGCCACAGCCTTTTACCTGCAGCTCTTCCTGCTTGATATAGCACAGGTGAGTGTGGGCAGCTGCCCAGTCTCTGCTGGCATCTTCCTTGGGGTCTGGTCCTTCCACCCCCACCTCTGCTTCTGCTCCCACCATCCTTGTAGGCATCGCTTCTGACTCAAGCTTAACAAAAAGCCAGAAGCTAATGAGGGCAAGGTCCTCAAGGATGTTTACTGCAGCCTGTTTGTAGTGGGAAAATGAGAAACAATGTGGATCCCCGACAATATAGAAGCAGTTGGCTAAGTAAGCTATGCCATAGCCACATAATAGACCAAGCCTGTCCAACCCACGGCGGGACGGCTTTGAGTGTGGTCCAACACAAATTTGTAAACTTTCTTAAAACATGAATTTTTTGTGATTTTTTTTAGCTCATTAGCTATCATTAGTGTTAGTGTATTTTATGTGTTTATATGTGGCCCAAGACAATTCTTTTTTTTTTGAGACAGAGCCTCCCTCTGTCACCCAGGCTGGAGTGCAGTGGTGTGATCTCGGCTCACTGAAACCTCTGCCTCCCGGGTTCAAGCGATTCTCATGCCTCAGCCTCCCAAGTAGCTAGGATTACAGGCGTACACCACCACGATCAGCTACTTTTTTTTTTTTTTTTGAGACAGAGTCTCACTCTGTCACCCAAGCTGGAGTGCAATGGCACAATCTTGGCTCACTGCAACCTCCACCTCCCGGGTTTAGCAATTCTCCTGCCTCAGCCTCCAGAGTAGCTGGGATTACAGGTGCATGCCACCATGCCTGGCTAATTTTTTGTATTTTTGGTAGAGACAGGGTTTCACCATGCTGGCCAGGTTGGTCTTCAACTCCTGACCTCGTGATCCACCTGCCTCAGCCTCCCAAAGTGCTGGGATTATAGGCATAAACCACCATGCCCGGCCTACAGCTTATTTTTGTATTTTTAGTAAAGACAGGGTTTCGCCATGTTGGTCAGGCTGGTCTCAAACTCCTGGCCTCAGGTGATCCATCCACCACAGCTTCCCATAGTGCTGGGATTACAGGCATGAGCCACCGTGCCTCACCAAGACAATTCTTCTTCTAATATGGCCCACAGAAGCCAACAGATTGGACTAACCTCACTATCAAATAGACTGTCATGCAGCCATTCAAAAGAATGATCTATACCAATTGACTTACAGCGATTTCCATGACGCTCTGGTGAAAAAGAAAATTAGTTTTAGAGAAGAGTATATAAAATGATTCCATTTTAGCAAATCAAAGGCTCCGTGTGTGTGTGTGTGGATAGATATGTACGTATATATGTATTTGTCCATGTTTAAAATGTGAGCATGGAGAAAATTCTAGAAGGATCTACACCAACTCGTTAATGTTGGCTACAGGAGGGAATGATGGAGAATGGAGGGTAAGTAAAACCCAATTTTTAAAATGAGGTATCCAGCCAAGCATGGTGGCTCACAGCTGTAATCCCAGCACTTTTCGAGGCTGAGGAGGGAGGATCACTTGAGATAAGAAGTTCAAGACCAGCCTGGCCAATATGGTGAAACCCCATCTCTACTAAATATACAAAAATTAGCCGGGCATGGTGGCACACACCTGTAGTCCCAGCTACTCGGGAGGCTGAGGCAGGACTATCGCTTGAACCCGGGAGGTGGAGGTTGCGGTGAGCCGAGATTGCACCACCACATTCCAGCCTGGTCAACAGAGCAAGTCTCCCTCTCAAAAACAAAACAAAACAAAAACCAACAATAAAAAAATGAGGTATCCAGCCCGGTGTGGTGGCTCACACCTGTAATCCCAGCACTTTGGGAGGTCAAGGCGGGAGGACCATTTAAACTCAGGTATTCAAGACCAGCCTGGGCAACATGGCAAAACCCCACCTCCACAAAAAATTTAAAAATACAAAAATTAGCTGGGCGTAGTGGCATGTGCCTGTGGTCCCAGCTACTTGGAAGGCTGAGGTGGGAGAATCACCTGAGCCCGAGAGGCGGTGGTTGCAGTGAGCCAAGACGGTGCCACACTGCACTCCAGCCTGGGCAACAGAGAGAGGCCCTGTCTCAATTAAAAAATAATAATAATAAATGAAATGAGGTATCCACGAATGTTTAAGATGACACTCTGATATGATCCCATTTATATAAACTGATCAATCTCGGGCACACACGAAGAAGCCTATGAATGGCTGATCATCAAAACGATTCTGGCAGTTGTCTCGGGATGCTGGGATTTCAGATGAGCTTCGCTTAGTATTTTCCCACATTGTTTGAATGTTTTTCTAATTAGTGTATTATTTACATAGTCAGAAAAAACAATGAATCCTTTCCATTGTGAAACACAGTGTCCACCTCTGTCAGCCCAGAGGCACCCTCCTTGCTCTGAGCCAGCCCCAGATGAGGGCCCTGGAGTCCTCTCCGCAGTGGCTGAGTGTGCAGGGCGGCAGCATTCAGCTCCCTCCCCTGGGACCAGCGTCCTGGGGAAGGCTGAGGAGCCCCTGACACTGCGGCTCTGCCCCAGCCAGTCCTGGTTCCCAGGCCCCCCTCCTGATGGCAGGCAGGCCTGGATGGGCTCTCGGCTGCTGCCGGGCCTCAGCTCTTTATCCCCTCCCCTGTCTGTTTCAGATCCCTGCCGCCCAGGTGTCACTTGTTCTGTTTGGGGGAAAAGTGTCTGGGGCAGCTGCTGACCCTGTGGCTGGGTTCTTCATCAACAGGAGCCAGAGGACGGGGTCTGGACGGCTCATGCCTTGGTGAGCAACCGCTCAGTCCTTAGGATCCAGGCACCTGGTCCTGGCCCTCGGGTCGCTGTTTGTCACAGTCCTGTTTTCTAGCAGAAACCCGCTGGGTGGTTAGGAAACAAGCCTGGATAATGTCGCAGTTGCACTGGGGACCAACTATGAGTGATAAGGAGTTCAGAGACACTCATGGGGACTCTCCCTCCCCAGATGGAATGGGGCTGGATGAAGCCTCCAAGACTCCCAGGCCTGGCCTGGGGCTCTGAATGTGGGAAGGGTGGGATGGAGCCCACGCGAGGCCTCACGGAGGAAGTACAACTCAGTGTCCCAGTGTCCACACAGGGAGTGGCACCAGCGGCACCGAGTGTGCAGCCGGAGCTCCCACGAGGAGTGGCCGCCCACTGCCTCCATGGCCCATCGGCCACTTCTCCCCTGATCTTGGCTCCCACCCAGGGAGCCTCAGCCTAGAGATTCTCAAGGGGCCGAGAAGGGGTGAGGTTCCTCCGGGCTGGGCCCTTCGTGTCCCCCTGTCCTGGTCCAGGGACCGCTTCACCTTGGCTGTGCTTCCGCAGGGTGCTGGGCTGCACCCCCTTCATCGCCCTGGCCTACTTCTTCCTGTGGTTCCTGCCCCCCTTCACCAGCCTGCGAGGCCTCTGGTACACCACCTTCTACTGCCTGTTCCAGGGCCTGGCCACGGTAAGCAGGGCCCCTTCCTGGGCCTGTGCTCTGGCGAAGCCCATTGCTTGCCGTGGCCACTCTGAAGTGTGCTGTGGGGGCAGGGTCACTTCCCTCCCCACCTGCCTGTGCCTGGACCACGCCATTGGCTCTCGCTGGCCTTGCGTGGGGCTGGCTGCCCCCTCCGGCCTTTGGGCCCCTAGTTCCGACTTCAGGTGGCCAGCTGGGATATGTCGGGTTGGCCTGTGGGTGCCGGGATGTGACACCCGGTATTGGGGAGGTTGCCAGCTGTCACCAGGCAAAGCTGGGGGCGGTTCTAAGCTCTGCCGGCACCCCAGTTCTTCCAGGTACCCTACACGGCGCTCACCATGCTGCTGACCCCCTGCCCAAGGGAGCGCGACTCGGCCACTGCCTACCGTAAGTGCAGCCATGGGTTTCGGGTTCCGGGGAGGGAACTGCCCCTGGGACCCTACTCCCTCTCAGTCACCGTAAGCAGCGCTCTGTCTCCAGGGATGACTGTGGAGATGGCGGGAACACTGATGGGGGCCACTGTCCACGGGCTCATCGTGTCTGGCGCCCACAAACACCACAGGTGCGAGGCCACTGTGACCCCGGGGCCAGTCACCATCTCCCCCAATGCGGTAAGTGCACTGGATGGCCAGGCCTCAAACCTGGGGTCCCCTCTGCAGGGTCACCTCCTTCCTCTAGGACTGGTTCTCCAGCCCACACCACTTTGCTGTCTTTTAGGGGGCTCACTGCCCCCACTCATTCCTTCCCTGCTCCTCCAGTTGAGCAGATGGCCCCCAAATCTAATGTCCTCTGCTAACCTGCCTCCTCCTGGGTTCCTTCTAGACGTAAAATAGAACAGACACTGGCCCGGCCACCTGGGCCACCTGGAGTGGAGGAGGCCGGTCCCAGAGGTGGGGCGAGGGTGGGGAAAGCTGCAGGGCAGGCTAGGGGAGGGGCAGCAGAGGGGTCTGGTGTCCTCCTGGAGCCGAAGCCCTTCCTGTGAGCCGTGCTCCCTCCCTCAGCCCTGACCGGGTGAGCCCCCAACCCCCAGTGTGAAATGGTGGAGAGAGGGAAGCCCCTTCCTTCCCTTTCACAGCAGGTCCCTTGAGCATTGAGCAGATACACCTCTATTTTATCCACCACATTTACCTTCTCTTTTTCTACTTCCTCCTCTTTCCTCAAGTAATGACATTATCATCCTCCAGCACTGTCCTCTTCTCCCCTCTCTCAACCCTCCAACCTATGACTGAATCCTGCCCATTTTTTAGGCCAAAAGTCTTCTGGGATGCATCCAGCCATCTTGTACCCCACTGCCATGCCCTGGCCCGTGCCACCAGCTCCCTCCCTACCCCACAACTGCTGCCTCCGCCTCCTACACGGCATCCCTGCCTCCCGCCACCTCCCCTGTGCGGTCAGGTGCCCTTTGAAAGGAGTTTGAGCATGGGTGGCCCTCGCTTTCAGGACTGGACATGGGCCACCCTCCATAGCCTTCATGTAGGCCTCCCCTCTGTGTGCCCTGTACCCTGCTGTCTTGGCCTTTTGTGCTTTTTTTTTTTTTTTGAGACGGAATCTTATCTGTTGCCTAGGCTGGAGTATAGGGGCGCAATCTCGGCTCACTGCAACCTCCGCCTCCCGGGTTCAGGCCATTCTCCTGCCTTAGCCTCCTGAGTAGCTGGGACTAAAGGCGCCCGCCACCACACCTGGCTAATTTTTGTATTTTTAGTAGAGATGGGGTTTTGTCACTTTGGCCAGGCTGGGTTTCGAACTCCTGACCTCAGGTGATCCACCCACCTCGGCCTCCCAAAGTGCTAGGATTACAGGAGTGAGCCACCACACCTGGCCTGTGCTTGTTTTTAATATTTCAGATTTATACAAAGGCAGAGAGGCACAGATCTTAGTGTGGTCCCTGGACCAACTCCTGGGACCTTGTTAGAAAGGTAGATCCTCATGATTACAGGTGTGAGCCACCGCTGGGATTACAGTGGTGGCTCACGCCTGTAATCCCAGCACTTTGGGAGGCTGAGGCGGGCGGATCACGAGGTCAGGAGTTAGAGACCAGTCTGGCCAACATAGTGCAATCCAGTCTCTACTAAAAATACACAAAAAATTAGCTGGGCGTGGTGGTGTGCGCCTGTAATCCCAGCTACTCGGGAGGCTGAGGCAGAAGAATCGCGTGAACCCAGGAGGTAGAGGTTGCAGTGAGCTGAGATTGCACCACTGCGATCTGCCTAGGTGATAGAAAGAGACTCTTGTCTCAAAAAAAAAAAAAAAGAATCTCAAGACAGTAACAGCAGAGCATTGAACCCCAGGGGCAGTGCTCTTCAGCACATGAGGCCCAAGGTGGCTGCACAGGACAAGTGCCCTGCCCCACCCCCTCTCTCTGCTCCTCTCCCCAGAGGCAGCCTCTCCCGAACTGGCTCTGGCTGTCACTCTTGTGCATGTGTTTATATGCATTTTAATGCACATGTATTCTTCCCTGAATGACAGGTAGCACTGTCCTGCTTCCTATATATACAGAGGCAGGGTCTTACTCTGCTACCCAGGCTGGAGTGCAATGGTGCAATCACAGCTCACTGCAACCCCAACCTCCCAGACTCAAGCGATTCTCCCGCCTCAGCCTCCCTAGTAGCTGGGACTGCAGGTGCACACCACCACACCTGGGTAATTGTTGTATTTTCTTTGGTAGATACAGGGTTTCACCATGTTGCCCAGGCTGATCTTGAACTCCTGGGCTCAAGGGATCCACTTGCCTTAGCCTCCCAAAGAGCTGGAATGACAGGCATGAGCCACCATTCCCAGCCCTGCTTCCTATATTAATCTTTTCTTTTTTTTTTTTTTTTTTTTTGAGACGAGAGTCTCGCTCTGTCGCTCAGGCTGGAGTGCAGTGGTGTGATCTCGGCTCACTGCAACCTCCGCCTCCCCAGTTCAAGTTGATTCTCTTGCCTCAGCATCCTGAGTAGCTACGATGACAGGCACCCACCACCACGCCCAGCTAAATGTTTGTATTTTTAGTAGAGATGGGGTCTATGTTGGCCAGGCTGGTCTGGAACTCCTGACCTCAAATAATCCACCCACCTTGGCCTCCCAAAGTGCTGGGATGACAAGCATGAGCCACCGCGCCCGGCCCTGCTTCCTCCGTTAATCTGAGTTACCATGTATCTCACCATGCTGTAACCGCCTGCTCCTGGATCTGTCTTCCTCCCCACACTGAGCCCTGTGGATGGACAGGGCTCACTTATTCATCACTGGAGCCTCGGGGCCTAGCATGCAGAAGGCAGCAGCAGTCAATGTTTGCTTCATAGAATGTGGGAGGGAGCACTCTGGCTCCTGGGGCATCAGTGTCCTCTTTGCCATGCAGGGAACACAGGGTCAGCAGAGGGGGTACGTGGAAGGAGCAGCCTGGGCCCGGAGAGTGTGCTGTCCTGTGGGGTGATTGGGAGGTGGGGACCCAATGTCCTGGGCTTGGGCTGTGCCTCCCTCCTCTCCATTTGGGAGGCAGTCCTGCCCCGCCCCTCAGGTGTCACCACCTCCAGGGGTTGAAGACATCACCCACCCCAGTCCTGTCCTGTCCCACAGGCCCATCTCTACTACATTGCGGCTGCCGTGGTTGCGGTGACTTACCCCGTGTGCAGCAGTTTACTGTGCCTAGGGGTGAAGGAGCGGCCAGGTATGGGGTGTGGTGAGGAGGGAAGCAGAAGCTGGGGACAGGGCTCTGCTCCGGGGTGGGTTTTGGTTTTGAACTCTGCGAAGCCAAGGTGCCACCCTCCTGCATTGCAGACCCCTCCACCCCAGCCTCAGGCCCAGGCTTGAGTTTCCTGGCTGGGCTGGGCCTCACTACCCGGCACCCGCCCTACCTGAAGCTGGTGATCTCCTTCCTGTTCATCTCTGCTGCTGTTCAGGTACCTCTGGCCAGCTGCCCCCAACAGGCTTGGCGCTGGCCATGCAGACCTTGCTAGGTTCAGGGTGCAGTCTCAGCTTGAGTTTTACAGGGAGAAACCTATGGCTGGCACATGGCTCAGAGGGGCTGGTGCTGGGAAGGAGATCCCGGTAGGGCATGTGGGACTGGAGGGCCAGGGCCTGGGCACTAGGAGGCTGACAGTGTCCGGGTGATTTCCTCTCACATTACCGGAAGCGTAGTCAAGTCCACCTGATCACAGCTGTGCAGGTGATGAGGGTGGCCTAGGAGTGGTGTTTATCTCTGTGTTGGCGACAAGTGTCCTTTGTGGGGGAAGGGACTGTATGATGGTAGCAGCAAGTCAAAGTCCCAATGGAGAGGCCAGACTCGAGACCCTGTCCTTGCCCTTGACTTCTGAGCTCCTGCCATGCCCTGCACATACCCACTTCCTGTCCATCTCCTCAGGTGGAGCAGAGCTACCTGGTCCTGTTCTGTACACATGCCTCCCAGCTACACGACCACGTCCAGGGCCTGGTGCTAACCGTCCTGGTGAGGGGACCTGGGGTGGTGGAGGCTAGGTCACTTGGGGCCCTGAGTTGGGGACATGTGTGGCCAGAGTTCTGGTGGTCCACATTTTGGACTTTGCTTTGGTCTTGGTCACCCGTATTCCAGCAGAGGGTAGAATTGGGGCCAGGATTACAATGTTCATAGCCACTGGTTTGAATCGGGTGCAAGGCCAAGGCCAGGCATCCCATCTAAAAGCCAAGGCCTTGAGGTCCCGGGTGAAGGCGCTGGCAGCACGGCCCTGGCGTGACGACACTGTCTGCTCACAGGTCTCAGCCGTGCTGAGCACCCCGCTGTGGGAGTGGGTTCTCCAGCGCTTTGGGAAGAAGACGTCAGCCTTCGGGATCTCTGTGAGTGACGCAGGAATTAAGGGTTGGGAGTGGCTGGAGGGGAGAAGCGAGGGAGGTGACCATGGTACCTGAGCCGGGGCTGTGTTCCCTTGAGTCTTCAGGGCCTAGCACAGGGTGAGGCACGGGGGTCATCAGTCAAGAGCCGTGTGTGAAGGAGCAGGCCCCGCGAAGTAGCAGGTGGCGGGACAGCTGGTGTGTGTGTCTCCCCAGGCGATGGTGCCCTTTGCGATCTTGCTGGCTGCTGTGCCCACAGCACCTGTGGCTTATGTCGTGGCCTTTGTATCTGGCGTGAGCATTGCTGTGTCCTTGCTGCTACCCTGGTAGGCTGGGTGTGGGGGCCTCATGTGTGTCCACAGTGGGTGTCGCCTCCTTCATGTCAACCTGCTGTCCCAGGTCCCCTGCACTCAGCCTGTGCAGGAGATGGAGGCCACCAGCTCCATCCTCACAGCCCTCCTGAGAGGATACCAGGCAGTAGGAATGGTGGGGGGCCCGGCAGGGGCCGGTGGGGGCACAAGCACACAGGCCATCTGCTTCTCTGGTGGCCAGTCTGGTCCTGGGCACAGAACTCAGGGATGACTCCACCTTGGCCTCTGTCGCCAGAGAGTTCACAGGCTGCTGGTGGCCAAGGGGCTGGGAGGGCTAACTCGATGCCCCTGCCACAGGTCCATGCTGCCAGACGTGGTGGATGACTTTCAGCTGCAGCACCATCACGGGCCAGGCCTGGAGACCATCTTCTACTCCTCCTACGTCTTCTTCACCAAGCTGTCTGGTGCATGTGCCCTGGGCATCTCCACCCTCAGTCTGGAGTGAGTCCCAGGGTTAGGATACAGCAGAGGCATCAAGGACCAGTGGGCGGGAAGAGGGCAAAGCCCCCCACCTACCAAGCTCGGGGCACCCATGAGCCTGAGGGCTAAGCGCTGCTCTTTGGAGAGTGTGGGGAACCATTTCCCCATGTTTCTCTGTGCATGAGACTGAGAGGGCAGGCTCCCCCATTCTCCGTTTTCTCTAAACTCTCCCAGGTCAGCCTGTCTGTCCCCTTGACACTCCTCTCCTGATCTCGCCAGGAAATGAAGTCCACGTTTCAGGAGGGGATGGGGTGAGGTGTCTGGGGCCCCTCCACTCAGGGTGCCAGGCTTAGCAGGCCCTGCCCTAATGGCTGGGTGATGTTTCTCCAGGTTCTCGGGGTACAAGGCAGGGGCCTGCAAGCAGGCAGAGGAGGTAGTGGTCACCCTCAAGGTCCTCATCGGTGCCGTGCCCACTGGCATGATCCTTGCTGGGCTCTGCATCCTCATGGTCGGCTCCACTCCAAAGACGCCCCGTCAGGACGCCTCCAGCCGGCTGAGCCTTCGGAGGTAAGCCCCGCACGTCCCCTGCACCCAGGGAGGCACAGTGTGCGCTGCTGGGGGAATGGCTAACACCAGTCTGCAGACGTCCCTGCTGTCACACAGTCCTGCCCCTGGGACACTCTCTCCTTAGCTCAGGGTCACCCTTTTCTCCTGGATTTTCTTCTCTTACCCTGGCCACCCCTTCTCAGTCTTCTTCCTTTGATCACCTGGTAGACTGTGGTATGTGAGGGTTCCCTCCTTGACCTCCTATTGGTTTTGCTCTCCAAAGCCCCCTCAGTACCTCATCTGCTAGCCTGACCCAACTCAGGCACCCCTTGTGCCTGGTGACTGCTAGAGCTGCCCCTCCAGCCTGAGCTTCCCTCAACTTCCAGAGCCGCATATCGCTGGCATGCATACATTTCCACCTAGTAGCCCACAAGCCTGGCACTCAGTCTCGATGAACCTCAACGGAACTGATCTTGTCCCCCCAGCTGGCTCCTCCTTCTGTGTCCCTGTCTTGGTGAATGGCATCATGGTTCCCCCTGGGGTGGAAGCCTGGGAGTCTTTGGCTCTTGCCTCCCACGGGCAATGCTGAGCAGGTCTCTGACCTGGTCCTTCCCCTACCAGAACACCGACCCTACTGATGGGGAGGATCTACTCACTGTCTGATCTTCTGGGGAGGCTATGGGAACCCTGAAGGCTGGGGCTGGCTTTATTCCTTTTGTATCCCAAGAGCCCAGCACAGAGCCTGAGGCTAAGCAGGTACTAAGGAATCACTGCTGCAGCATCACCACGTCTGGCCCAGCAGACGTGCATGAGCACCCAATGTTCACCCACATAAGGTCCTCAAGCATGCACACATCATGCAGGCCCACGCAGGACAGGCAGTGGGTGGTCCCATCATCAGCCACTCCCTGCCCAGGGTGACGGCCTCGGGCTCTGCAACAGAGAGATACCAAGGGCACGCTTCCCAGTCAGGGAAGGCCAGGCGGATGGGGAACTGCTTGATGGCACCTGGAGAACCAGGGCTGTAGCTTATTTACAGGACTTGGGAGGGGAGGAGTTGAAGAGGAGTTGTTGGGAAGACAAGGAGCAGCCACCAAACCTTCCGCGGGTTTCTGCGGCAGGACAGAGGGGGGGCCCACACCACTTCCATCCTTCCCCTTGGCTTCCTTCCTTTCCCACAGGAGGACCAGCTACAGCCTGGCGTAAAGCTTGAGAGGGGGACTGTGAATGGACACAGGAGCCAGCACCCTTGGGGTCTGACATCGCCCTCCTCCACCCTTCAGCACCCGGCCTGGCAGTTTAGCACTCGGTCTTTTTCCCTGGGATGTGGAGTCTTTGGCAACATGTCCTGAAGGGACTGGCCTGTGCTTCAGGACCCCACTTGGCACTTCTTGTCTGTTGCCTTCAGACTATCTCAGATAGACCTGTGTCCCTGACTAGGCCAGTAGCACCTGCCTCTAGAAAAAGGAAGCTCCTGCCCAACCTGGCTTGTGGACCCTGTGGGAGCCCCAGGCCCAACAACCTGCGTGGACAGCAAAGCTCCCTGACAGAAGGACAGACACAAGGACTCTTGTTTGTCCCAGGGCTCCAGTGGACATCTGCTGAGGACACAGAGAGGTGAGAGTCACCACGTGAATGGGCAGAGTGTGGACAGGCAGACATGCCCAAGATGTATGATTAGGGAGACACAGACAGTCCCAGGGAGGCCAACGGGCCCCAGGGAGAATGGGACAGCCATGGGGATGGGGACTGAGCAGGGCGGGCGCTGAGGTGCTCCTCAAGCCTCTCCCAGTTCCCAACCACTGACGCAACTGTTTCTACCAGGGTCAGAAATGGCTATCGAGCCAGCAAAGTTCCAGCATTTTCACAAATAAAAGCTATTTGTGTGGAAAGATTTTTCTGAAATTTTACCTTACAAAAGCACAGGAACTACAGTTTTTTAGAGGCCATGTTTTCAGGTAAAGAAAGATCCACGGAGGTTTTTATTTTTTCAAAAACAAATTCAAGGGTTGATCTGCTATTGAGTCTGTGTAGTGTGACTGTGGACAGCCCTCTCATCCCAACTGGAATCCCCAGAGGAGGGAAAGGGGAGAAAGCCTGGTGCCCTTGAACCTGGCTGCTCCCCCAGCCACACACCCCTGACTTGCATGTCCTTAGACCAGGGACACCATGTGGGAGCGGGGCGGGTTCCTCCTTCCCTTTGGAGGAGTCACAAAGTTAAGGCTCTAGAGTGGCTCAAAGCAGCAGGCCGCCGAGGTGGCTCATGGGGGCTGGGGCTGGGGGAGGGCTGGGGAAGCCATGGGGGGGTGTTATGCTCCAGCAAGTCCTGCCTGGAGAAGTCTGGCACCTAAACAGGGGGCCTGAGTGCAGACTCGCCCCTACATTCCACCCCAGCCCCCACCCCTGCCTCCTTCATAGGTTCAGCTCTCCTGAGCCCACAGCTAGGCCCCGTCCACTAAAGATCTTCAGCCGTCTCTGAGGAGCAATCCCCCTGAGGCCCAGAACTCAGGTTTGTCCTTAGATATGACGCAGTCCTCAGAGCTGAAAGCATCTCACTGCTTCCACAAACACGGTGGCAGAAGGAACCCGACCTCGCCGGGGGCGTGTGGGGTCTGACCCGGTCTTTCTGATGCCTCAACTCTCTGGCCCTTATGACACTGACATGAGTATCTGGTTCCTGAGGTCACAGGGCACCAGAGAAAGAGCTGGGCTCAGCTTCTCTGCACTGCCCTTTCTGACAGGAAGCTCTGCCTCCCCGTACTGTGCATGGACACAAACACACACACACAAGCAAGCACACATGCATGCTACTGAAAACAGGAGAGAACGTTTCTTAATGCTGGGATATCACGCGTCACATGGAAACAGTACCCGGCAAGACAGAAGGCAATGTAGTTTCTACCATGTTATCATTTTATGTTATGCTTTGGCAACCTGGGCAATGCAGGCAGGATCAGAAGCTTGTGCCAGATTCTCTGCTATCGATTATTTCCTGGCAGTGCAGTGGCAGGAAGCAGAGCTATACGGTGCAAAGGCAGCTACAGGGGCCCTCTGCAGAGCCAGAACCTCCAGGAGTCAGGAGTTAAAGCCCAGAGACAGGAGCTATCATGGGCTCGGAGCTGGGCAGATGCCCTGAAAGGCATCATTCCATTTCTTCTTCACAGCAGCCCTGCTGAGCATTATTCTCATTCTCAGATGAGGAAACAGGCTTAGAGAGATTAAGCCACTTGCCCAAGTTCAGTTGCTGGTAGAAATGAGTCTTTTTGTGTTTGTTTGAAGCAGAGTCTTGCTCTGCTGCCCAGGCTAGAGTGCAGTGTCACAATCATAGCTCACTGGAGCCTTGAACTCCTGGGTTCAAGTGATTCTCCCACCTCAGCCTCCTGAGTAGCTGGGACTACAGTGCACACCACCACGCTCAACTAATTTTTCTTTTTTTTGTAGCAATGAGAGTCTCACTATGTTGTCTAGACTGGTCTTGAACTTCCAGGCTTAAGCAATCCTCCCCCTTCGGCCTCCCAAAATGCTGGGATTACAGGCGTGAGCCACCGCGCCCAGCCCATTTACCGCTATAGCTCCTCAGAGCCCAGAAGTAAGTGTTCAATATGAATGTTTGCTGAATGAATGAGCAAATGTTCCTATCACCTTCATCCTAAAACAAACACCACCACCTTTTATTTGTTCCCTTAGCTTTCTGCTCTCCAAATAATCTGCTTTACTGTTCTCCTCTCACCCCTCCCATTCCTGTCTCCTTTTCCTCACCTGCTATTCACTCCTTAACCAGTTAAACCTGGGCTTGGCTTCCAACACTGAGACAGTGCAGCCTGACAGGATGAATCCCAGCATCAAAGAAAAGGAGATGGTAATCTGTATGTTACTTCCCTCTTTTACCATGGTTGACTTACTCAACAAAACTGAGCCTCCATTTCTTTTTTTTTTTTTTTTTTTGAGATGGAGTCTCACTCTGTTGCCCAGGCTGGAGTATAGTGGCGCGGTTTCGGCTCACCACAACCTCCGCCTCCCAGGTTCAAGCGATTCTCCTGCCTCAGCCTCCAGAGTAGCTGGGATTACAGGCACCCGCCACCATGCCTGGCTAATTTTTTGTACTTTTAGTAGAGACAGGGTTTCACCATGTTGGCCAGGCTGGTCTTGAACTCCTGACCTCAGGTGATCTGCCTGTCTCGGCCTCCCAAAGTGCTGGGATTACAGGCATGAGCCACCGTGCCCAGTTTCTTTTTTTTTTTTTGAACAAATGTATACACTATTACATAAACCTCAGGATGGCTATAAGAGAAGACGTGACCAAGTACCAGACCAAGGAAACCCTTAGTGACCAGTCAATTAATGCTGACAACTCCTTTTCAAAATTCTGTCTTGGGTTGGGTGCAGTGTAAGTGTGTGAGCCTTTGGGAGGTCAAGGCAGATGGATCATACGAGATCAGGAGTTTGAGACCAGCCTGGCCAATATGGTGAAACCCCGTCTCTACCAAAAATATAAAAATTAGCTGGGCATGGTGGCAGGAGTTTGTCATCCCAGCTACTCAGGAGGCTGAGGCAGAAGAATCGCTTGAACCAGGAAGGCAGAGGTTGTAGTGAGCTGAGATAACACCACTGCACTCCAGCCTGGGCAATGGAGCCAGACCCTGTCTCAAAATAACAAAAAAAACCTGTCTTCCCCTGGACTGCATGACATCGCCCTCCTGGTTCTTCTGCAGCATCTCTGACCATTCATTTTCTGTCTTTTCCTTCACGTCTTTCTCCTTTAATGCTCCTTAGCCATCGTGGGCTTCTCAGGGCCACGTGATCCCACTCACTATCACCACCTATCCACTATTATAGACTCTTATTAACCCAGAGCTCTCTGCGGAGCTCCAGAGCCCCAGATCCAACTGCCTATCTCAGTGTTCAGGCAGTTAAAACATCATACATCCAAAATACATCACCTCTGCACACCTGCCTCCTGCATTTTCAATAAGTTACATCAGTGTTACTGAGCAAAACAGCTTGCTGCCTGATGCACACAGAGCCAATACTACGGCATCAGATTTTTGAGAGAAGAAAAGCCTTATTACAAATCAACCAACAAGCCAGGCATGGTGGCTCACGCCTGTAATCCCAGAACTTTGAAAGGCCGAAGCGGGCGGATCACTTGAGCCCAGGAGTTTGAGACCAGCCTGGCCAACATGGTGAAACCCTGTCTCTACTAAGATACAAAAATTAGCCGGGCGTGGTGGCACACGCCTGTAATACTAGCTACCCGGGAGGCTGAGGCAAGTGAATTACTTGAACCTGGGCGGTGGAGGTTGCAGTGAGCTGAGATCATGCCACTGCACTCTGGCTTGGGCAACAGAGCAAGACTCCGTCTCAAATAAAAAACCAACCAACAAACAAAATCAACCAACAAGGAGACAGGAGTCCAGCTTGAATCTGTCCTTCCTATGTTGGTCTTAAGGTAGCACTGATATCATATAAGGTTTAGACGGTGGGTTCTGGGATTAGTAGGTGATTGGTGGAAGGAAAGGGAGGTCTGGAACGTCTCCAGGGATGCACACTTGTCTCCCCTTGGGTCACATGTGCAAATTCGGGGGGAAGTTAGTATGAAATGTGGTGGAAATTCAGGCTGTGACATCAGTAAGCATGTTCTACGCAAACTCTAGTCAGCCAACTGATTTCAGCCAATTTTGTTATATTACAAGTGGAGAGAGTTTCAGCAAGCTGTTTCTTTTCTTTTTTGAGACAGTTTCACTCTGTCACCCAGGCTGGAGTGCAGTGGTGTGATCTGTTCACTGCAACCTCCGCCTGCTGGGTTCAAACAATTCTCCTACCTCAGCCTCCCAAGTAGTTGGGAATACAGGCATAAGCCACCACACCCGGCTAATTTTTGTACTTTCAGTAGAGACAGGTTTCACCATGTCGGCCAGGCAACTCGGTCTCCCAAAGTGCTGGAATTACAGGTGTGAGCCACCGTGCCCTGCTCTATTTCTTTTCTTATCTGCCATCCTATAAGCTCAGGAATTCCTGCTGGTCAGTTTCTTTAATCCTGTAGGGCACAGTTTCATCAGCATCTTTCCAATCTACCCAAAACCAAAGACTTGGTGTCTTTTTAGGTTCCTTTCTCCTTGATTAGCTCAATTAACTCCACTGTCTCATCCCCGTATCTACTGAGTGTGGATTGAGCAAAGGAAGTCAAGGGCAGTCTATGGCCATACCACCCTGAATGCACCCGATCTCATCTGATCTCGGAAGCTAAGCAGGGTTGGGACTGGTTAGTACTTGGACAGGAGGAGGACAAGGGTTATGGTTTGTGGATTATCAAATGGTGAAAGTTATTTGACACTGGACAGAAAGTTGTAACACCAGATATGGATGGATGTGGCTCATTAACACATGGTGACCTGACATAGCTGCCTGCTATGTTTGAGGTGCAGGCATTTCTGTAGTCTGTGGAACTCAGTTCAGCTGGGTACAGTTTTCTGTTACCTAGTGTTTGTGTGTGTGTTCTGTAGAGACAGGATCTCTCACTTTGTTGCCCAGGCTGGTCTTAAACTCCTGGCCTCAGGTGATCCTACTGCCTCAGCCTCCTGAGTAGCTGGGATTACACACACAAGCCCCCGTTCCCAGCTCTAGTGTTTCTTAAGGACAAAACTGGTGTATAAGTAATAGGAAATTCACATTATGCTGTACTTGTTCTCTAATATCACAGCCATGTTAGAACAAATTTGGGTTTTCAAAGCAAACATAACTGAACAGAGTATATATGTGTATGTATATAAATATATACAAATCCTAAATGGTCCCTATGACATAAGAAACACACATTTGGTCTCTGCCCCAGGTTCCTGGCACAGAGCTTCTAAACTGCTAGTAACTCCCTGAGTGGTAGGGGTGAGGGGAATATCTTTTGTTATACATAATAAGCACTTTTCAAACAGATCTGAGTTTATGCTAATGATGTGACTCGCAGAGGATGGGGGCTGGTTGCCAGAGAAACCAACCATGCCATTAGAAGGTTGAAACTTTCAGCCTTATCTCCCTACCGGGAGGGGACAGGGGCTGAAGACTGCGCTCATCATCAATGATTTCATCAATTGTGCCCATGAAATGGAGCCTCCACTTCCAAACGAAGGGGTTCAGAGAGCTTCTAGGTTGGTGGACACATCCATGTGCCAGGACGTCTACCCCACTCCACGGGGACAGAAACTCCTGTGTATGGGACCCTTTTAGACTTCATCCTATATACCTCTTCATCTGGCTGTTCACTCTATAATAAACCAATAAATGTTAAGTAAAGTGTTTCTCTGTGTTCTATGCATTATAGGAAATTATCAAATCTGAGGAGGGTTTGTGGGAATCCCCTATTTGCAGCCAAGTTGGAGAGAAGTATGTATCACCTGGAGACCCACTAGTTGCACATTTGATGCACTTGTAGTCCCAGCTACTTCGGGGGCTAAGGTGGGAGGACTGCTTGAGGCCAGGAGGTTGAGGCTGCAGTGAGCTGTGATAGTGCCACTCACTCCAGCCTGGGCGACAGAGCAAGCCCCAGTCTCAAAAATAAAAATACCCACTACTGGTATCGGAAGTGGGGACCAGCCTGTTGGACTGAGCCCATAACCTACTGGGTCTGCATTCACTCTGGGTAGTGTCAGAATTGAATGAAATTGTAGGTACCCAGTTCAAGTCCACAGAGAACTGAAGAATCACTTGTTGTGGAAAACCCGCACATTTGATGTCAGAAGTGTTCTGTGGTTATAGAAAAAAAAAGTTTCTCCTTTTAGTCTCATATATATTAAAGGAATTAAATAAATATTTTAAAATATACCCACAAAGAAAACACCAGACCCAAATGATTTTTCCAAGTTCTAGCAAACTTTCAATCAAGGATCATTCCTACCTCACACAAACTCCACCACAGAGCAGACAAAGAAGGCACACTCTGCTACTCATTCTATCAAGCCAGAGTAAGCTTCTTACCAAAACCAGCCAAGCACATTAAAAAGGAAAGAGGCCAGGTGTGATGACTCAAGCCTGTAATCCTAAGACTTTAGGAGGCCAAGGTGGGAGGGTCACTTGAGCCCAGGAGTTCAAGAAAAGCCTGGGCAACAAAGGGAGACTCCATCTCTACCAAAAAAGTTTTTAAAAATTAGCTGGGTGTGGTGGCATGCACCTGTAGTCCCAGCCACTTGGGGGGCTAAGGTGGGAGGACTGCTGGAGGCCAGGAGGTTGAGGCTGCAGTGAGCTGTGATAGTGCCACTCACTCCAGCCTAGGCGACAGAGCAAGCCCCTTGTCTCAAAAATAGAAAAAGGATTTACAGGCTAATCTTACCCATTAACAGAG